GATAGATCCCCCCCCAAGGTTCTTTATTTTTTACATATTAGTAATACACGTTTTGTCTACTTTTGATATGTGTTTGTGTTTTCAATATTGACTTGGTAGTTATTATTTTATTTTTTTTTTTGCTATTTTTCTTTATCGTGATTAATGATTCCACCAGCCGTAAACAATATTATTATTTATCACTGATAATTATAACATATAACAGGCAATTCGCTTTACAATTGATTTGTACTATATTTTTGTAAAGAATCACTCCGTCACCAGCGTTAGAAAAAATGTAAAGGTAAGATACACAATAATAACACCACAGTGATAAAATAAAATAAATAATTTAAACTAGGGATGGAAAACGTTTTTAAAAAACGTTAGTAAACGGAAAAAAAACGAAAACAATTAATAAAACAAAAACAAAAAACGATAATAAAAAATCCCAAAAACAGAAAAAAATTAATTACGAAATCAAAAACGAAAACGCAAATAAATTATAGTATTATACATTATTATATTTATAACACGAAAAAAAAACGTTACTAAAGTATTTACTTTTTAATCTTTACCAACAATGCTCTATTAAAATTTAAAAACATTTTTATTTGAAATCAAGAATAATTAATTTTAATTTTTACTCTTATGTGCATTTCTAAATTGCTAAATTTACTACTATAAAAAAAAAAACAATATTATCAAAAACAATATAGAAAAATAACGTTTTTAAAAATGTTAATCAAAAACGGTAAACAAAAACAGTATTTTTTAAATCAATAAACAAAAACGAAAAAATTTAAAACATTTTCCATCCCTGATTTAAACTGATTCATAATATTCTTTTATAGTTGAAATAAAAAGAACAATAAATATGACTTGAATTGATTATTTGATATTATCAACTATATTACTATCAATATTATTAGATTCTGAGCGGAGTGAGGGATCTATTGGTTTTTCAATATTGTTTATATTTATTTTTACTTTATCCTGCATACAAAATTTCTACCAGAAGGAGTTCTTCGCTTTTAACATAATATACCTACCTAGTATATCTATTATTTTAGCAAATTTTATGGAGATGGTACTTTAGAGAGGTAATTTTTCAATTTTCTCAATATTTATTTAATGACACATTACAATTTCACCGACAAATTTCAAAAACCGCTAAAAATGTGATTTCAATTTCTAACTCTTTGTTTATCACCATAGAAACAAATAAAATAAACATAATGATTTTAGTTATTTTATCGTAATTTATAATATTAATTCAACTTACAGGCTATAATAAAATATAATAATTAATAATAATATAAAATATCCAGACTGACAAACCGTCTCCGCTCAGAATCGTTTTTCGTATACAATTATATGATATCATTGAATTCAAATGTAATACAATCCATTATACAGTTACCAACTATTGTAATCTACTGTACAGCAGAGCGACATCCACTCACCCGCTTTTTTAATATTTATTATTATAGTATGGGAGTTGTGAGGCAAAACCCTTACGGCTTATTTTGAAACCATTTTTTTCATCCCCCTCCATTGAAATATCCTGAGAACGCCTCTGATCAATGGAGCAAGATAGATTTTCAAATTTAGCCATTTTAAATATTGAGAGAGATATGTCCAATAATATCAATAATTATGACATACTGGAAAAATATAATAAAATAAAAAACCGACGAATGTAGAATGCTAATATAAGAATTATTATAACAATTATTTGTATTTATTTATTGATTATAACTAGGGACCGGATTTATATGCAATTGCATATATGTATTGGAATAAGCTTTTTGAAATCTCATGAAAATTTTCCCCGATTTCGATCACTCTTATTAAAATAACACCAATTTTATTTTGCATATTTTGCATATTTCAACATTTTTACCTATTAAATACATATTGAATGCATATTTGCAGTTTTAAAGTGCATATTATTATTTATAACACATATATTCGTTTTTCGTCGTATTTTCACGTTCACAGACACATAAAATCGATAAAATTGACAATTCAAAAACCACATTAAAATTATCAAAAAACAAAATTGGTGGTATTATAAATGCCAAACTTACAACTGTACTAAGAAAAAACCCTGGATATAAAATAATGAAGACAATATCTAAGATTTTGGAAGGAGAAATAGACGGAAACTATGAACTACCTGAAGATTTAAATGCAAGTGATATTGCATGTATGAAGTACGCTCCTATAAATACTGCTGAGGTCGAACGAAGTTTTTCAATGTATAAAAATGTACTTACAGATAATCGGAGGAATTTAACATTTGAACACATTAAGGAACTTCTGATCATCCAATGCAATAAGGTAAAATATGAATTCAATTTTTGTTTCAGTTTTTATTAATGTGAGCTAATACTTTATAGATTGAAGATACAGAATGTTGAATGGCGAAGAAGACGAAAAAATACTTTAAAAGCTTTTTTTATACTTTTTTAATACCATATTAATTAATAAATATTGTTACATAATTATACATAATACATTTACATATTTTTACATAGTTTTAAACAAAATTTTAAGTGCATATTTAAGTACATATTTAAAAATAAATACATATTTTATAACATATTACAGCATTTTTAGAAGCATATTTTGATGATTTTTTGTGCATATAAATCCGGTCCCTAATTATAACTAAATGGGTAATATAATATAACATTTCTAACGGAAGCAAAGAAATTTGTTCGGGACTATAGCCCCCCCAGAATTTTTACCTTAGTTGCGCCTATGCTCATCGTATAAAAAAAAAAAATTGAGTTTCTCAAATATGCAAATGTTTGAAATAACTTTATAATTCAGTTTTATGTGGTTTATTAACAATAACATAAAAAGTAAGTAGGATAGGCAAGTTCTGATTCCACCAAATTGTTGAGCGTATAAATACAAACATTTCTAAAAAAAATTCTACAAACTTAAATTTTTTATATTTTAAATTCAAAAACACTATTTTTGAAAAAATTGAGTATTTTCAAGGTTTTTGACCATAACCTCCAAAATAAGTTCGACTAACTTTTTTTGATAGTACCATCAAATTAGGCATGCAAAAACAACACACATTTTGAAAAAAAAATTCCAAAAAATCGATTGGGAGCTAAACTTCATTTATGCTCATATTATATTTAAATGTGTCTACAATTTGTGTAGTTGTTAATTTTACATAAAACCAATTATTTATAATTTATAAATTAAAAAATAAATTTCTAAGTTTCTTGCACTTAAAAATTTGTTTTTAAATACCATTAAAATTTATGAGGCAGTTAAATGGATTATTCTGTTAACTATACGTGTAATTATAGAGGTAAATTGTCTGTAAATAATTAGCAGGGGCCCATTGTGCCGTGTCGTATTACAGGGCCAGATGACGTAGATAAATGTGTCTCAGCACCTTTTTACATGGTAGTATAACAAGATTAGACTGATTAGTGATATTTAAATCATTAACTTTTTGGTTAATTTGAAAAAAATTATTTCATCAAAAGCATAATTTCTACAGGATGTGTCAGACAAATAATATAACTGATTCTAATAAATATTTTAAAATTTTTTTTTTTGTTTATATAATATAATGTATTGACTCATACGCTTCACGTATTAAATAACATTTTTTATTTTTATTTTTAATACTCAAAATTGATTAAAATTTTTCAATAATATAGCTTATTTGTAAATCTGGTTTTTAGAAGAACTTTTATTATAAGAACATGTATTCAAGTCCCGAAGTTTATTTTTATAATTTTTAAATGTCCAAATTTTTTGAAGTAACTCGTTAATTAGAAACTTATCTTTAAAAAAAAATTATATTTTAGGTACTTCAAAATGCTTATCAAATATTTAAAAAAAGTTTTTAAATAAAATTTTTTTACGGCTGGATCAACTATGATTTGCCATGATTTCCTGTAGAATAGCTACCATGATCAAAACTGAGGTGGGTGGAATATATATTTATAATATGCACACCAGGGGAGGGCATAACTATGCCATCCACGAGTTTGTGAATGAACTTTTTAGTATCTCCTTCCTAGAAAAATTTTTAAATATTCCACTGCAGTTGTATAATTAGAATTTATCATTAGGGGAGGGTCTTGAAAATTAATAATTATTCAGTTGTCAAAAGTCACAAGATCAAGTTTGAAAACAAGATCATCAAGTAAGATGCCTTCTTAGTTCTTACTGATATGAAACATAAAATATATTTTAAAAATACAAATAATGGGCAATAAAATATAGTTTTATTTTTATTTTGTTCAGTCTCATTTCAGACGTTTAGGTGAGGTTTCTAAATGAAACTTCTGTAAATTTTTTTTAGCAACGAGGGGGTGCTTCAGTCGCCTTGCCTACCACACTATTGTAGGGCCAAAATGTTTATGAATTTGTCATCCAGCCATATAGTAAAAAAAGACAAAGGCAATATAAACCTGCTCAATAAAAAAAAAAGATCAGTTTTAAAAATCAGTTTTAAAAATCAGTTTATTTATAATTTATAAGTAAAAAAAATAAGTTAAAACATTTTTGATTTTCCTTGTAAATTGTGACTCAGAAAATTCTTTATTACATTAACATAGTTGATGGTAAAGGTTGGAACGCTTTTGATATTTAATACGGCATTTAGATCAATATGATAAATGATAATATTACAAATTATGGTATAATAAATTACAAAATATAAAATATAATATTAATTGTAGTCAATGGAGTTATAAAATGATAAAAATAATGAACATTTTATAACAATCATCCCCTCCCCTAAATATGGCCATGACCATTAGTTTACTCCAGGTACTTTATTTGTAGTTCAAAAACTAATTATATTACATTTTTAATTATATTATTAATATGAAAATAAACTACTAAGATCAACCAAAAAAGATACAGATTAATTATTTTTATCTTTACAAATTTAAACACAATATGAAATTCGGTTTTAATTGGTAGGTACATTACATTTGAATGGAATCATTTATAATTTTTCATGTTAATTATTATTTTAATCTAATTAACATTTTACGTTGCATAATGTGTTGTATTTCACCTCTCCTGATCATCAAGTATATAACTTTATCTATGGCTCTTTGAGGATATTTTTGTCTCAAAAAATCTTGAATAATACTGAATTCAGACACTTGAGATCCAATTGGAAATCGACGTTTCAATTGCTTCTCAATTCTTTGTAGTGTTTCTGTATCTTCTTCGGTTGAAAAACCTTCTACACCAGATAAACAGCCTGATGTAGCTGCACTCAGGGTAGATACTTGAAACAATCTTAAAGCTTCATCTACATGACTATCAGTAGCAAAAGGTTGCAATTGCATTTTAGCTAATGATTCTGCAATACGAATTATAGCTTCTAGCTGTCTGACAGTAATCGGAATGGCAAGTTTTTTCTCAGATTCCAATTCATGACACCCAGTTCTCATAATTACATAACGACTTTTAAGCTTCTCACCAGCTTCTTCAGATAATCGAGGTCCACAACGTCGGCGAATGTAATTTATTAACTTTTTGATTGTTGCCAATGGTAATTCTCCTTCAACTTCTTGCTTCGCTTGACCATTCATTAAATGTACATTCATGATATGCTTAGCCAATGTCATATCTCTGTTCTGATCATGTTCATCTTTAATAATAAATATCATATCAAACCTGAAAAAATTTATTTATTTTTCATTAAATTCTCAAACCAAATAATAAGCACATAATAATATTATACTACCTAGATAAAATTGTAGGCATGAAATCAATATTATCTTCGCCCTTACTGTCATCCCATCGACCAAACACCGAATTTGCAGCAGCCATTACTGAACAACGACTGTTAAGAGTAGTTGTAATGCCTGCCTTAGCAATTGATATGGTTTGCTGCTCCATAGCTTCATGAATCGCAACTCTATCACCTTCTCTCATCTTGTCAAATTCATCAATACAAACTACACCACTATCAGCCAAAACCATTGCTCCACCTTCCACCACAAAATTATGAGATGTTGGATCACGAGTTACGGAAGCTGTGAGTCCAGCTGCTGAAGAACCTTTACCAGATGTGTATACACCAATGGGAGAAACTTGTTGTACAAACTTTAAAAGTTGTGATTTGGCTGTACCAGGATCTCCCAAGAGCAATAAATTTATGTCTCCACGACGAGTTAAACCATCTGGAAGTCTTTTTCGAGAACCTCCAAACAGCAGACAAGCTATCGCTTTTTTTATATCACTAAAGCCAAAAATAGATGGTGCTATAGACTTGGCAATACGGTCATAAATATCAGGAGATGATGACAATTTTCTGAATAGTTCTTCTTCTTCAACAGAAGTGGGTAATAAAGAAGTAGAACCTCCAACATTATCATCCAATTGGAAACCTAAAACTCTTAAATATGGAGCACGCACACCAACCACAGTACGAGAATTGTCAGTAACATTTTGTTTTTTTGCAGTTTTCACCTGAAAACATATTAATTTAAAACTAAAATATATATTAACAAATTAAAGTATATTTTTTAAATCAATTTTACCTTTTTTATAGAATAAACACCAACCACCATAACCCGGTTTCCTGGAACTACACGTTCACACAAGTAGCGATCACAATATAACTGTACATGTCGTGGCATTTCTCCTTGAGGTGTAGAGTCACTCAATTCTTGTAATTTTAAAATTTGAGAATCAACGCACTTGCATTTGTCAGGTATAATAAAATATGGATCCAAAGGACATTGTGGACGGCCAGCTTGTTCAGTGGTACATTTTCTTGGCAAGATATAACCGTCCATACCAGGTTTCACAGGTAAATGTGGTACTACATTACGACAAGATCGACATTGCAATGTTATCTGTGTAGCCTTAGCTCGAATACTTGATGCCGATACTATAATACCAGGAATTTTAACTAGCCGAGAAACTGACTCAGATTTAATAGAACGCAAATAAGAAGCCAATGAATTTGTTGACAGTAATATTTGAACACGCTCAATATCTTCCAAGTTATCTGAAGCAAGCAATTCTTTTGCTAACTCAGTCGCAGCTTCTTCAAATGCTGGCAAATGTTCTACTGGCTGTTTGTATAACTTATCTGCAAGATTTTCATCAAATCCAGCTAAGTCCTCGACATTTATTTCCAAACAAAATTGACCCAAGTTACAATTTCGTTTTAATGTATCTCTATACTTGTAGTTAAAATTTTCTTCATTATATGTTTTTAAGAATTCTTTGAACGATTTTTTTATTGTTCTAATGTTCAACAATGATGACGCCAAATTATCGTCGTCACCGAATGTGTCAGAGAAAAATATACCAGGTGTATCAAATCCTTCCATATTTATTTAATGAAGTTTCAAAAATTGTTGAATATAATAACACTACGAAATTTTTTTTTAAAAACGTCACAATTTACTTCGTAGAAAAATATTAAAATGTGAAATCAATTTAAAGAATAAATAGTCAAAATAAAAATTGAACAAAACAATGACACACTGAAATTTAATATAATAGTAAGGTATATAGTAGTATTATAGAGTGTAGGCACTATCGACATTAGCAAAAATATGAAAGAGCAGTAAAACGTGAAAGAAAACCATTCAACATACTGCTATCGCATATTACAGTATTACTATTTCCTAAATTTCTAACAAAGCACTTGTTGTTGATACCTAATGGTAAATGGCGGGAAACATTGTTATTAGTACACAGTAGGAAGTTAGCAACACGGTATTATTTATCAAACCATTTTCTTACCGATTGTGAAAACAAAGTTAGTTGCGTTTTCGATAAGGCAAAATCTTCTCATAGTAGAAAAATTAAATACCAAATTTTGAAATTTAAAATAGTAAATATAAAATATATGAGATATTTTATATTACACAGTTGACCATCAAATATCCAGTAGCATAAATTCTATTATCCTAATTCACTTTGATATCTATGAATTATGATAAACCATAACCATAATGCAATCACTCAAATCAGTGTTTACTACTGTACTTTGTGTCACGAATCACGATTAGATATATACCTTTAATCGTGCTTTGTGTATACGTAGTAAGTACATTGCGTTTAATATTATTTAATATTTTAACGTATTTACAATTTTAAAGTATCATAATTATAATTCATAATATATTAATATTATGCATGACAAAATAGATATTTGGTCATGATATTATATAGATTGTTTGTGTTTAACCTACTAGTGTGGACTTATTTGTGTTCATAATAAATGCGTCGCACAATCTTACCATGGCCATTGATTTTATAAAATCAATGCCATAGCTGACGAATGTAATGATATCTACATACTACGGGATATAAACATTTAAATATACATAAATCATACATAATTTTATTTTAATTTATTAACTCATTGGCTCATTACCTGAAGACTAAAAAGTAATTGGATTACGATTTTAATAAAAAGAATAATTTGATATCTTATAACACAAACATAATAATAATAATGATTAACACACACTTTAAAAATTAAAACTTAGTTTAACTTAGCGACGAACGAGTACCCATGTCCAGATCACGAATTTAGATATACTTAATTAGGTGTCTTAAATCTTAATAAATTCGTGGACCAGATAAACACCAGAAAACATTTTATCAGTTTGTGACTACTGACTAGTGTACTGTTAACAAAATAACAAATTTGATATGATATTTTAAATTACGAACAATACGAACCAGACTACTATAGTACTATAATCCTATGCTCAAAAATCAAAAATCTAATTCTCGAAGTAGAGTGTGATGCATTATACTGTTTTAGTAATGCAATATAAATTAGAATAAAATTATAGTTACTTATTAAGAACATCTTTCTGAGCGGAATGCTATTCTCTAGTTCTGTATCTATCATATTATAAAAAATGAAGAAAATGTTCATTTAAAATTATTTAAAAAGGCTTAGCCCTATAGAAATTGAATAAACATCAATAAATAATGAATATCCGAGTAATCGCTTTTATTTAAATCAAAATACCTAACTTACACAATTACTCAACGTCCGTAGGGTTTAGAAAAATATATTATTCAAAGTTCAAAGATATATAATGCAAGGTGTTTTGCACGATAAATGTGTCGAACTTCTAGAGGTGTTTCTACAACTCAAATGGAATAAAAAAAGTCCTTATGACTCCTGCCTTAAAAAATAATTGTTATTAGATAAAACTGAAATTTTTTAAAATTTCGACATTTTAAAGTTTTAAAACATTTGTGTTATTCTTTTTGCCCAAAAAATCAGGTGGGAACCTTGTAAGATATGTTTTTCTAATCCCAATTTTAGGAGCTTTTCATCAATGTATTCAAATTAATTGTGGTACCTACGGTTTAGTAGATATGAACATTATTATGAATCAAACTTGCGTTTACCCAAAAAAACCCAAACATGGAAATTATAACCCTTATTATTAATAATTTGATTATGATCATAAGGAATTTCTTTGTTCTATTTGAAGTGCAGAAACACCTCTAGAAGTATGACACATTTATCGTGCAACACCTTGTATATTGACTGTTATTATGTATCTGTGTTTAAACATTATAATAAACCAATGTAATATTGATAACTTTTTAATTATAATAACAAAAAATTATTTAATAATTTCTTGTTTTTATTTTCTGCATAAACATGAAACTGATTCATTGATTAAGCATATGACCAAGATGGAATTATACCCTGCAAAGGATTGAATAATTACAGGAAATATCACATTGAGAAAAAAATAATATTATAAATTAATAGTCAATATAGTTTTCAGGGTAAACTCAGAATTTTAAGCCATGTTCATATATTAACATAATAAAATTAAGTGATTAACAAATTAAATATAGTGAAAATAATTTCTTTATTTATTAATACCTGTAACTTATTGTGTAAAAACATATTGGGTATCAATAAAATAATTGTATATCATATAATATAATCAATTAATACTGAAAAATACAAAATTAATTTTGTACATTAGTTACTTTTTTTTTGGTTCTACATGGAACAAGTGATTATAAATAGTATTTACTAAAATTTCTTATACAACAAACAACAAATTATAGTACATTTATAAAATTAATTGATTATGTTTTAATTCAATATTGTCTTTAGACATATTGTTAAAATGTAAAGCATGGTAAACCCTGTAATATGCAGTATCTAAATAAACTATAAATACTATTTTAAAACACAATCTTATTATGCAAAGACAGTCATTTACCATACTCAACAATTACATTTTAAATTTATTGAAGTAATAATCTATATAATATAATATTATATTGTAATTTGTAAGTTATAAATTGTACACGAGTAAAAGTTTTTAAAATATAAGGTTTATATTATATATTTATATAATATAATTAAACCAAATTTTACAAAAGTAAAAATATTATATCATCTTATTTAATTGATTAAAAATTAAATAATCTATGACTCATCCTGTTAACTTTAGCTAATATAATAAGTAATAACCTACCCTCAATTAAATCAAAAAATAATAAAAATACAGATTATGTATCTAAAACTATAATTTAAAATAGTGCATGATTATTACAAATAATTAATATAATACCCGTTAGTATGAACTTTGTACAGTTAAATAGAATATTTTGTATAATATGCATAAAAGTTTAAAAAAAATAATACAAATCAATGTGGTAAATAAAATCTAAAAAAATTATTTGTATAACATTTGATTCTTAAACATAGATAGTCTAACAAAAATAATGAAAATTGAACATATACCCTGGTAGAATAAAAATGCAATTTTAAATTTAAAGGCCTCAGAAAATACCATTATCACTTTGTTACCATTATAATATTTAAAAAACATTATTTTTTTTATGAAAAATACTAGTAATACTACCCTTTATTTTACAACAGTCAGTCATTAAATTAATAAGATCTTGTTTAATAAAATTTTTTTCAACATACTTTTTAGGTGCAAGTATACAAATTCCAATTTTTGTGAAAATGTTGCTACTTAAAATGATCTATATACATTAAATAGAAAATAATTAATTATAGTTTGAAAAATAAAAAATTTAATTCCCTTAACTAAAAACAATTTTTCTTATATAAAAATTTAAATTATTTATAATATACTTATTTATATATGTTAGCTAAAACCAATTATACTAAAAATAAATAAGTGTTATGCATAATTGTTTTGATCTATTATAGTGATTTTGTAAATAATTAGATTAATTTCTACTGTCTTCAGATAAAAAGTAAAAACCAAAAATTGTTTAACTAATTGATTATTTATGGTATTTTTCTATAAAATAATATATGATACTTAAAGTTGTCTAGATACTTTTTCAACTTCTTTTAAACATTCGCTTACTAAAGCTTTAGCTTTATGAATTGACTTTTTCAACCTTTCAGTAGAATTCTTACAACCTGTATAAATTGGTCGGATCGACCCAGACATTTCTTCAATAACCGTCAACAACTCTCTATATTTAGCCCAGCCATCTTCACTACTTAAAGAATCAATATCAAATGTTTTTTCAACATTTTCTAATTGACCAGATATTCGGTCTGCAGTAGTAGAAGGTGGAGGCATATGTTCGTGTTTATAATGTTTAGTTTTATTTTGTGTATTTTCTTTGTTGTAATTCACTGCAGTCTTTTCTTTAGGTTGTTCATATGCATATGCTTTTCTTTTATTTACTTGACTAAAATTCATTAACAATTCAGGATAATTAAACGGCAAATTAAATGGCCATTGTTGTTCATATTGAGCACTATAATTAGGATAGTTATGATGTTTGCGATTCATTGTCAGGTCCAAGAGTGGATTGTAACTGTTCATATCATTTACCATGTGGTTTAATTGAGGCATACTGGATTTTCCACGCTTGCGGGGTGCACCTCCTTGTGCATTTGAAGACAATGAGTGTTTATTTTTTGATTTTCCACTGCTAGTATTTGGTACTAACGATAATGATACTGTACTTTGTGGGGAAGTAGAAGAAACCGCATACTGGCTGTTGGATTTTGAAGTTTGTGATATAGGTATGATGGTCAATTCTGAATGGCATCCCATATTGCCAGACTTAATTGCTTCCAATAAACTATTTTCCATGATATCAATTTTGAAATTTTTCGTCCTAAGAATTATATATAAAAAAATAATAAATACTGAATGAGAATTGTTGTTATACTAAAAAATAAATAACTCCTAACACTGTTTCATTAAAACATATAATTAGGTTTTCAGATTTCATGAAAGCTTATATATATTAATTTAAATTGATAATCTACATAAACAAAAATAATAATAATAATAGATAGATTAATATAGATAGGATACAATTTTAATTATTAGTTTTACTTTTATTATAGAACAATTACTTAAATAATGCATAGTTAATATATGGAGAAAGTTTAAATTTACTACGTAAATGACCTATTAAACTTCTAAGTTATTAATAATAGTAGGTAATTGATATACACTTACTCTGTTTATAAATGTACAATTGTGAAGTTCTAAGAAACTTAATTTTTAATAACTTTCATTTAGCAGTGTAAATAACCATATAGCATCATAAAGTAACAATAATACTACAAAAAGATTTTTAGAAATTCCGTAGATTAAAAAAATATAATAACTAAATAGTAAATATGCAATTACGGTAATGGTATTATTATTTATTAACTTGTGGAAAAACAAACGTCATTTCGTCAATATCATTTTATCATCTACAATTTATTTTTTATTCTACAAGCCACAATGGAAAGATCAAGATCGAGAATCAAGAGCGATAAGGTACATAATATTTTATTATTTAGTATTTACTATTATTAAAACCGTTACTATGTTCATTTTGGAGTTAGGAGAAATAATTCATAATTGATATTTGATAAGAAACGGAGGAACTAGGAAGTGTCGTCCTATCGGCCGTCGGCTCGAAATATATGTCGAAAATCGAAATGTCATATAATAATATTATCATAAGTTTGTACTTATTGGATGCGGTGATTTTCTGTCTTTGTCTAACTTAAGTGGAACATAGGAAAAATAGCTATACGCCTGACAAAATTAAGGTACTTCTAGTTGTTCAATTTAAAAAATGTAAAGATGTTTGAATTAGAATACGAGTTTACTTGTCATCGGTCGAAGCACTTTTTAAATTGTAGCAATGTTTTGATGAGAATAAATATTTTAAATTTTATAAATTTGTCAATTTTTAATATTAAATATATTTAAAAAATATTAAAAAATATGCTTTGACAGATGCAAAGGAAACTTGTATATCAATTCAAACATTTTTACATTTTTTGAATCGAACAACCTTACTAGAAGTACCTTAGAGGATGTCACAATCGCATATGTTGTCTCCATCTTACAAATATACAACTTAGCAAAAACTGTTCTGAGCGGGACAACTTTTATCTTTCTGTGTTTGTGGTAGTGTCTCCAAAATTTCTGATCATATAGGCTGGAAAATTATCCATGCAACAGCGGGCCCATATTTTAGATACAATAATTACACTAAAAGTTATTTGTTTCTAAACATTTTGTTTTTTTTTGTTTTATTTTCATTTGCTTATAAACAATTATTGGATAGCGCTATTAAAAAAAGAGCATGATGTTGCACTGATAAATTTCTTCTTTACGTGTTGTGAAAATTTGGTAGTTCTACAACAATTATGGTGCGAGAAAAGTTGTCCCAAGCAAAACAGTTTTTGCTATGTTGTACATTTGTAAGATGGAGACCAAGAAACAACACATGCGGGTGTGACATCCTCTTAATTTTGTCAGGTATTTTTCCTATGTTCTACATGTGTTAGACAAAGGCAGAAAATCACCGCTTCCAATCCCCTTAATTATATCATAGCTATCACGATTTAAAGTAGTATGGTTGCCCAACACAAATTTCTATATAGCACTAAAAAGCAAACTCCCGCCATGAATTGAAGCTTCAAGGTCTGTTGAAAATGTATTACAAGGCTCCTAGCACAGTGTTTCTCAATCTTTTTAGTACCGCGACTCAAATTTCCTCCGAAAAATCTTTTGCGACCCACATTGTTTCACTTATCAAAAAGTAGGTTGTAAAAAACCAAATTTGTATTATATAAATATGAAGGGATATGGGAAAAAACGATCATAGTCAAAAGAAAGAAAAAATCAAATAATTATAATTTATAGAACCTTTTGGTTAGTTTCGTAACGAATCGATACGTGAATCGAGTTATGGATAAAAATAAAAATCACGGTCAATAATATGATACAGGTTTAAATACTACCATAACGGGAAAAAAAGGCCAGAGTCCCAAAATTGCAATACTGAACATTTTAGGAATATTGACTATTATTGTTTGTCCCCCGTAACCCTTCATATGTATACATTTTTATTAGGTATTTAGTATTTTATAGGTTTATAATCAATACCTATATTTTAGAAATGTAGGTACTATTAATAATGAGGTGTATGCGAAATGTGTGCTTGTTTTCTGTTATGGTTAATAACAGCATTGACATCGATGTCAATTTTAATTATTTTCAAATGTAAGGAGTTCGATAACTTTAGCTTGTTTCGATGTTTTGGAAACCATTACAGAAAATCCAATTTCACACATGTATGAAGATGAGAATCTATATAATTAAAAAAAAATTTCGCGACCCAAAAAAAATAGACTGACGACCCACACTTTGAGAAACGCTGTCCTAGTACATCGTTACAATGGCAGTTAAAAAATACTAAAAATACATAATCACAATTTTTTTTTATAAGAATTTAAAAATCGAATTTTCACAAAATATGTAAAAATTATGAAAGTTATGATCAAATTATTTTGTGTTAAAAATTCATAAAAAAATTTCTTTTTAAATCAACGATTTGAAAATTTAATTTTTTAATAAATAAAAAAAGTTCTGGATTAGAATTTAAATATTTTTTAATTTTTCTTATTGAAATATTTGGAGTTGAGAATTGATATCAAATATAATAATTATATTTATTAGATTTCATAATTATATTATCGCGGGCCAATATATCATAATCATTACAAATAGGTAATGTGTAGTACTGTAGTCTGCAGTATAGGTAGGACCTACCTCTATAATATATTATATTAAAATAGATTGGCAACTCATATAAATATTTGAAGTCAAAATCCACTATTTCTTGAGACTTATAGGCTTTGTCATGGAAAATTCTGACCTCAGAGCTGTTGCTTATTTTCATACTATATAGTATCAAAAATCAAAAATAATTTTTAGTTTTTACTAATTAGAATAAAATAATTTGTCTATTATTATAAATATGATCATATTGTTTTAGTTTTTCATACTGTCATTTAGATGAGATGAATTCTCAATACAAACTTTTCAAATTAAAATATCTTAAATCAAAAATCAAAAATCAAAAATCAAAAATTAGTTATTGTGTGTTAATTTTTTTTTTTCAATTTTTATTCGTATTTTATCTTGTGACACTAATTATTTATATTAAGGGGACGTTACAGTGACATATTTTGTTATCTCTGTCTTACAAGTGCGTAACATGGACAATTTTAGCTCAGCAGAACACGTTTATCTCCTATTAGTTTAAAACTTAGAGCGGATTGACCTCTGATATAATTTAAAGATAAGATTATTATCTAGACAATGACATATGCTTTTATTATAATTTAATTTTAAAGCGAGTTATGTGTACTTTATAATTGTAAACTGTTTGTACATCTTAAAATACTAATAACTCATAAATAATTTTTAAAAATACCGGCATACCCTGCGAAAAAAAGTCTGCACAAATGCACAATAATATCCTGGACAGCCACGAAGTCCGATTTTTAAATCAGATTTGGACACTGTAAAATAATATTTTTCCGGAAATTATCTACCGTCTACATTTTTAGCAAAATGATAACCTAACCGTTCGGCATTTATTATACAATATCGCCAACGTAGACTAGATGCTATAACAGATCAAACAATCCATAAAATATAACCGTGTGCCACTCATTATTCTAAATAGTAAATGTATTCAATTTAAGAGTGATTTAATTTTATGAGATTTTTTTTTTAAAGAACATCTTATATTTTGATTTTGTAATAATGGTGATCTGTTTTTTTTTGGATTTGTGACATTTTTAGAAGAGCCCTCTAAAGTCATGTGCCCGTGGAGCATTGCCCGTCATGCCACCCTCAGCACTCAGACAGACGGACCTCATTAGTTCCGATGTCGCCTCTTCTTAAATCCTACTATTATTGTTTATGTACATAATATAGGTACATTAATGAATCCTTATTATAGTTATTAATTCAAAAATTACAATCACCTACCGTTTACCGACACTTTTGTAAGCTTTTCGGCTTTCGTTTGGTGTTGGTGCATAAAAAATTGTTAATAAAAAAATACTAGTGTAATACCTTTCCACCTTCGAGGAACGAGAAAAGTTAGATGTATAAAGGTTTAAAGTGATATAAAAAAAAAACAATCATAAGATTATTGTTGTAACTTCAAACTTGTAAGTGTTCAATGAACGTATATACTTTTTATGAAGCTGTAAACAATATTTCAATTCATGTTAATTATTGCTAAATGTCAAACATAGATTTATCGACGAAACATCAGACATTTGAATCTATTTTTTTTTGTAATTACCTACTGTTTACACATCTTAGATTCTGGAAAACAATATCAAAATTTAAAATAAAAAACATCGCATTTGAGGGGTATGATATCGGTAACTTAACAAGCACCGTCTACCGCCATTACTGCTGTTCTCTTATCAATACAATACTGCTATAACATCAGTGTTAAACTATTATCGTTTTTATTAATTTTTACCAGAAAATATAATTTATATTTTTAAATATAACAAAAATAAAAAATTGTATCGAAAATTACATTATGCTATTTTATTATTTATTTTAATTAATTTGTGATTTGTTATTGTCAATTTTAATAATTGTTGTATTTTTCTACTAGTTTTTAGTTTTAATGATATTAATTAATCGTTAATCTAAATGATTTTATAATAACAAAATATGAAAAAAAATTCGTATTAGAATTAATGTTTCCTTAATTGTTAGTATTATGTTTCTGTGAAGTTTCACAATTTACATTAGTTTAATCTGTAAAATGTAATGATTTCTTACAATTATGAACTATTTAAATCAATATAAAATCCCTACACTAAACACAATGCACCAAAATCCTTTTTCTAATCCATCAAATAAAAATAGTTCACCCCGTTTTCACCACCCTACAACTCCAACTATAGTTGACCGCATTGTTTTTCCACAAATGGTTAATGATGTCAGGTAATGATAAATTAATTTTAATTTTAAATTGAATGTTTTAAAATTAATGCATTTTAATATTATATTTTAGGTACCAATCGAGTAACATATTTGATCCTAGACATTTAGATCTACAAAACACTTTGAAATTAGATACTCATTTCAATGGTAATGTGGATTTTTTTAAAAATCATGACAAAAATGAGTTCTATGACAATTACAGATATGTGGAAACACAGTTACCTTCAAAACAAAATTCCTATAAAAATTCTAGTCGCTCACAAGTTCTTGAAGTTAAAGCAAGGATATCAGTAGATGTATCTACTATGACCGATCCTTTGACTTTAGAAGAACAAGAAAGGCTCGGTCAATGGGAAGGTTTTGCTGCTGTACAGTCCGGTAACAAAGTTGCTGAATACTTGACTAGTCTGAGAGAATTTCTTAAGGTAATATAATAAAATAAAGTAGATTTTAATGAAATTTCTTTCAAAGCTTTTAGAATTTTTTGAAATCTTGAAAGCAGAAATTAATCCAAATATATAAAATTGTTTTAATAGTTATCTCCACCACAAGAAGGAAAACGAAGACAAGGATTGGGTGATGTTAGAATAGTTACATCACCTGATGGTTCTCGGCTATATTGCTGTTCTGAATGCTTAATGGCATATACGGATAAAACAGTTTTGGAACATCATTTAGCTAATCACAAGGTAAAAAGCTAAAATGGACTATTCAAATACCATATTAATGTGTTTTAATGATTATTTTAAGTTTAGGTAGAGCGTAGATTTATATGTATGGAATGTGGAGCTGGTTTGAAACGAAAAGAGCACTTAGATAGACATCAATTAAGTCATAGTGATCAGAGACCATACACCTGTGCAGCTTGTCCAAAGACCTTCAAGCGTAATGAACATTTAGCTCGACATTATATTGTACATTCTGGAGAAAAAGCACACGTCTGTGTAGAGTGCGGAAAAGCATTTTACCGTCGTGATCATTTACAAAAACATGTCCAGGGTCATATTACTAAAAGACTCAAAGCGGTAATCAATGCTGTTGTTTAATTAAAATAATAATTAGTTTAAGCTCACATAATTATAGTGCCTTTCTTTACACATCTAGTCATTATTATTAATCTGTGTATTATTCTTAATATATTAGTGAAATATTTTAACTCTGATTTAATTGAACTAGGGAATATTTAATTGTTTAATATATAATATTTTAAAGCCATCAAATTTAATCTAGAAATAATATTAAAATAACATCAATTATTTAAGATTTTATTTATGATATTAAGATCCAATCACTTACATGCAATATAAAATATAAATGTTTGATGGTTGAAAATTATACAGGACAATTAATGCTCAACGGTTTAATTAACTAAGAGAAGAAGGGGTTTGATCAGAAATTTGGATAGATAATAATACAATATTTGGATATTGATTTACAATTGACTCTTGGAACAATTGTTTGAACACTGAAATGTAGTTCTAAATAGTATTTAGTTCGGTGTAAATAAATATTAACTATGATAACACTTTTTATGGATTAAGTTTATCATAAAAAACTATTGTTAACTTGTAATAACAAATTTGTAAATTTTAAAATATGTTATTACTTATTCACAAATGATTAAAGTTTTCCAAGACTATACATAATTATTATTTATTACATTTAAAAACTAAAGATATATCTTATTAGATTTTTCAATAGTTGTGTTTTTTACTTAGCGTATTAAAATTTGTTAAATTATTTGTTATGTTTTTTTTTGTCATATTATTATTTTAGTTACCATAAATATTATGTACAGTTACCTCATCTGAAATTATTATGTAATACTATATTAGGTTACGTATTATGTATTTAAATTTTAAGTATATTATGTTTATAATACAAATGTTGATTCGATTAAATTTATACTGTTTATTATATATTTATAACTGGATGCATCTTTCCAATCTAAAATAGGGAGATTGTCAAAATTCTATAAACTATAATTCATGATTTATCTGATTGATAATTAGTTTTTCTGGAAACCTCCATTGTATAATGTTACTTATTAAGCATGAGAAAATTAAAATGTATTTGTATAACAACACTTTAAGTTTTACTTGTAACATGTTCTTTTATCATATAATTTAAACAATAAATACAGTCTATTTAAGTGGTTTTAATTTATAAATACAAAAAATAATAATAGATTAACTGATTAACAGTAAAAATCTTCTTTTTTGCCATGTTATCGAGATCCGGGGGAGGGACTGGTTTTGGCATTGCTTCTCAGTAGATATGGCATATTTACGGCAGTAAATATGTAATATAGACCAACTTAATTTGTATGCTTTTAAATTTTTTAAAAGACCATAATCATAAAATATTATCTATTGAATTGAATAAGCATTTGTAAAAAAAATCACCATTCACAACTCTACATTAAAATAATTTTATACCATTGAGTGACAGACCATCATACATTTATTTCCAAATCATAAATACATTTTTTTTCCAAATAAATGTTGAATGTCTGATTATAAATTGATCCATTGTATATTAAATCAATAATTTCAAAACATATCTATTAATGTATTATGTATAACTACTTTTTAATTAACAAACTGTACACAGAATTTCTTCTAAAATCTTCTCTAATTCGTTTTGCTGATATTTTATGATTATTTCCAACAAGTCTTCTTTGGTAAGCATCCCCTTCTAAAAGTTTTCTTCTTGGTATATGTTTTAAAGCGTTAACCCAATTATTATCAACTTTTAAGTCTGCCATAATCATAATCATCTAAAAATAAATAGTAAATATTTAAAAATATGTATTTAATTGTTAAAAATATGTATTTAATTGTTAAAAATATTGTTTACTTTGTACATAACATTTTACCTGGTTTAGATTTAACATTATAAAATTAATATTACTATCATGTATGCAAGCAATTATTATGGATATTATTTAAATATTTATAGACAATTTATGAATGTTTATTGAATTAAAGTTTAAATACCCTTACAAATTCTTATAGTGAATACATTTTAATATAGGATAACAAGATAATAGTTAACATACTTGATTAATGGTTAAATTTTTAGTTCCTTGTTTCCAATCTAAATATAAATCGAGTGGTAATTTTGCCATTCTTATTTTATCTCGTTTCCCCTTAGCTAATGATAAAGGCTCAACTTTCATTTTATCAACCATTGCACCTTAAAAGTTAAAACATTGACATAATTATATCATTATCATTTATTTATAAATATATTAATTTTATTGTTGTAAACCTTACCAACGATATATACATCATCATGATTGTATTCTTTAAGTTCTTCATTACAATGAGGAGTCAAATACACAAGCTTCTCTCTTGGATAAAGATCTAAGTAACTTTTTTTTGTATAATTTAAAGGGAATGTTGGCTCATCAATAGTTGGTATTGTTTTAGATAAACCTTTGAATACTATACCTTCTCTATCAACATTACAAAATATAATATTAAAAGGGTCCTTGTGGGTACGATTGTAGGACCACATTAACAGTAATTGTTTAGCGCAGTTTGTTTGTTCTTTCAAAGACATGTGTCCATCATAACTACAATCAATTAATATGTCTTGTCCATATAACATGGCTTCACATAAACGGTAATTATAAAGAGAATTCATTTGCTTTTCATAAATTCTATGAAACATACTGTTCCTCATTAATCCATACTCAATGTGATTATTTTTTGGTTCATTTTCATATCGTTCTATGCGTTCAGCTCTTTTTTCTAATTTGCGCACGACACGGTTTTCTTTTTTTTTTTCAATTAAAAACAAATATTTTAAGTGTTTCATTCGCGATGACCGGCTACTTAACTGTAGTAAGCTTTGCCATTGATCTACTCTGAGGCGGCTTGGTACTTGTTCACCACTCTCATACAGTAAATCAATCTCTAAGATCAAACGTTTTAATTTTGACAATGTTTCTTCATCACCTCCAGTAATTGAATCATAATCTATATCATCGAATGGTTTTGGTGTACTTGGTTCAGAATTTAATGTATCCGAAGGACCTTCTAGTTTAATACAATAATACCGACTTGCACTAGTTACCGGTGCAAACAATTTTATTGAAGATGAGCATTTTGATTCTTCAACTAAAATTTTAGTACGAAATGCCAACTTACTTAATATTCGAAGACCACATCTGGATATTAACATTTTAAAAACTAATTTAATATTAGTTGAATATTATTTTCAACTATGTATTTAAATATTTATTAATTAGTATTTTTTGAACCGAGTGTATACTGTATGAAACTAAAAAAACCAATATAAAATATTAAAATCCCAAATAATTCAAACTTCAAAACATATCCATAACATCAACTTAAATTCCATAACATAACTATATTATAGTTACTACATAACCCTTAAAATAAGATTAAAAATGGATGATAGTGTTATCACTTATCTTAATTCATGCTTAAATCCACTGTATTAGACCTTAGACCACATTAGACCGTCCTTAAATCCATAGCTGCTGTAAAATTAATTAATATTATTTAATATTTATTAATATGTCTACAGATTAAAACATATCATATTATTATATATGTATATGATCAAAGATTCATTGCATAGAACACGGACTAATGTTTTGTTCATAGAATCAACCACAGTTTATAATATAATCTTTGATCCAACTTTTTTTAGTGTCATCGCAAAATCTCAAATATAAAGAACGTAGACACCGTCTAGACTTATAATATACAATTATACAAGTCTATGAACTATGATAGAGCAAGCATACTATAGTATAGACTACCTGTCTGACAAATTCTGACTAATCAGCCTGCAGCAGCCCGGACTATAGGAATCCAAGCTGCTTTGTGTCATTTAAAATGCTTATAATAATTACATAAAATTGTTTCTCAAGAAAAGAATGAAGTTATAAATGCAATTTAATCAGTGGCGTAGCCGGGGGGTAGGGCTGTAGCCCCCCCCCCCCCCCCCCGAAATGTTAAGAACTTTTAAAAATTAACTATATGTATTAACACTGTTCAACTATCTATCTGTGCTAGTACGTATTTAATCTGTAAAAGTGTAAGTTGATCAGCGTCCCCCGCCTAAAAAAAATCCTGGCTATACCAATGAATTTAATTATGTTAATTCTAATAGCTATGCATAGTAAAATAAGGTATTAAATCCATAAACTTTGATATATGATATGATTATATTATAATTTCTTAGTTCGTGATAAACGGACTGACTAACCAAAATTTGATCGGAAAACTAGGAATTTGCATGGAAGTATTATAATGGGCTTTGTTTAGTTTCAGTCTCTTTAGACTTTGTTTTCCCACGCTAAGGCCCCTATTCAACAAATTAGACGTATCCAACTGACATCATAATGGTAAAAATGTAATCACTAATCACTATCCACAAAGCAACTGTAGTGTTCACTAAATGTAACCTCATGTTAGAACTCAGCAATGTGAGGTTCATCTTAAATTCTATCAATGCTTAAATAATTCAGTATATACAAATAATTTCTTACTGTTATGCCTTTCCATTATCTATTACATACAAATTTAAATTTCTAAAAAAGTCTAAATACTATCTAAAATTTTCACTATATATGTTTATAATATAATTTTATATTTAAAAATACTCCATATTCATTAGAAACCTAATTAATTCAAAAATTAATCAATGTGTTTACTATAGTACATTTTACTTAAAAATGAAAACAACAGGTGTAAAGTTTAAAAATATTTTATTAACACTTATGAAATTATATTTTACAGAAATAGAAAACTTAATGAAATTTAAAAATATAATACAATGACACTTAACATTGATAATTTAAACAGCTTTTGTCATAATATTCTAATAAATAACTGTTAATAAAATAATAAAAACCGAAAATAAAATTACTTGTAAAACGAATTTATTTCTTGTTTGTACCTGAAAATAGAAAAAAATTGATTATTGAGACATATTCTATATAGTACATACAATTTATTGTAATGAAATTATATAAAACAAATGTTATGTTAGATAAAATATAACGAGTGGTTAATAATTAGCATATTATACAGTATTTTGATACTAAGAGGTACCACTAAATATTTCTGCTATACTAGTGCTATTGAGAAAGCGCTACTCGTTGGCGCATCCAAATGACCAAGCTACGCGTTTATGTACCCAAATTTTTCTCACTCTACTATATAGTTGTGGCAACTACGGTGGAGGCGGCAGCGACCAGTGTACAGGCAGATTTAGTGGTGGGAATGCGCGAGATTGAACGAGTATAGATGACAATGAATATAAATGGATTTTTGGGAAGTGACGGGGAGTGTGACAACATCTCAATATGCTGTTTTGGAATGTGCAATACAACTTACTTATTTTAAATAGCAACATCAATTTTTCTCTACAGATTAGTTGGACAATTGGTGTATTATAAGTTATTTTTCTAATTATAAAATAATGTACGAAGTTAGAGTAAGTTAAAATTTTAGAATAATTCTATAACTTATTGTTAACACCACTTCTATTTTTTTTATGAATATATTTCAAATTTGTTTATTTAATTCTTATCTGTGTACAAATAGTAATAATAACATTGGACATACAATAAATAACATTAACACATCAAAACAGAATTGTAAATTCCAACTTACTAATTTTGTAAATTTTGTAATTAAAAAACATTCAATAAAAAAAATACTTTATATAAATTATATTTTATATTAGTTGTTGGAAATGAATACTTTTTTTATATTATTTGTATCGGGAAAAAATGGTATTAGTCATCTCTACTATTTTTTTACTCACTTTCACCTCCCAAAAATTTGATTCAATCCAAGGTTGTCCAACTAAAAATATTTATTTGTACCTTTTAATGAGAAAATATTGTATAATATACAGTGTTTTAAAAAGGCAATTGGAAAGAAAAATTATAGGGTTGTGTTTATACTTTATAGTTAATCACATAACATAAATTTAATATGCAATGTTTATAGTGTAAGCTATACCTGAAGTTAATATGAATAGTTTTCATTAAGATCAGAATAATTAGGAATCAATACTTTGAAAAATATATTAATGTAGGTAGTAATAACGAGTCAAAAAACTACTAACTACAACACAAAATTGTTTAATTTAATTTAGTATAGAAATCTTGATAACATTCAAAATAAACTAAACTAGAACCATCATGGCTCTCTTTTAATTTGTAATAATGTACTGAAGTCTCCTTAATCTTCAGAAAGCTGCACGGTTGAAGTGTATTTAAAATTATAAAAACACAAACATGTTGTTCAAATAAGGCGACAATGTACATTTACAGTAGATTATAGGAAGATTAATACTTAAAATGTTCAATTGTAATTTACTTTTGTTAATTATATTAATAGCTTAATGATGTATAAAATGCTCTAATTAATACATTAATATTTTTTCCAAACATTTTAATTTTAAAACGTTAATTAACTAATAATCTTTAACTATACTTACATAACGATAACTCTATGAATTTAGTACAAAAATATACAACAATTTTGATTGAAGACAATCAAAACTATCATCTATTATAAAGTTCTGAAGTTATCCAGACTATTAAAAATTCTACATACCAGTATCATGGCATAATACAAATAAAATAGGTTTGTACATAAAAACCGAACACCAATAACTTATTTTAAACTTATCAAGTTATCACTAAAAGCAAAATATTTTTTAATCAATATTTTCTATTACAGAAACTTACCCTTTTCAATTTTATTGATGAAACCTTTATAATGAATGTTCAACAAATTTTAACCCCAAAACTAATTGTATTATTTAATTTACTTTTGCAGTAACTAATTTCTCAAATGCAACATCAGTAGCTAAAAATAAAAAAATAAAATCAATTAACTTTAAATCAATAACAAATGATTGAATATTGTTTAACACATATTATTGTGTATCACATGGAAATATAGAAAAGTAATAATAATAAATTATAGATTTTCATTAAGAATGTAGAAGATAGTATTCCTTTTAACAGTTTTTAAAATGAAGTATTCTACCAATAATCAATATGATATTTGTATTATTTAATGTCGATGGCGTAGCGCACAAGTGTGATAAGTGACATTTTCGTAATTGTTCAGGAGAACGATTTTTAAGTTTGAGATGTTATAACAAATTCAAAAATGTAACGAACTGTACGACATTTATCGGAGTAAATAATGAACTATTCACTTACAACGTTTGGGCATAATGTGCAGAATTGTATGATTAAATTGATTATGCACTTAACTCATTTTTCAAAAAATGTCACTTATCACACTTGTGCGCTACGCCATCAATGTTATCTCTCGACTCTCACTCTTAATTTTTCTATTGTTATAAATATTTATTTATCTGTATTATTCATTATTTTTTTTTCTCCTAAATTATTTTGTTCATGTTTCCATTATTGTCCTACTCACTTAATAGAAAGTGTTTAGTTTTTAATTAATAATTATTACTGTCTATCTCTAACACAAGCTTAAAGCTTAAAAGAGATAGATATTCATGAAATCTAACTCAATGTTTTTTGTATCCTATGTAATTTTTATGGTTTTTGAATAAAAAAAAAATAATAATAATAATAATGTTTATTAGATAAATTATGATAAAAATGATGGTTTACCATTAAAGTGTACTCTATTGAGTCTATTTCAATCCATGTAGGAGTGATAATAAGAGAAATAGATTTGATTATTAAGAAATTTGAATACTAATAATTAATATATATTTTACTAACACATTGACTATGTGTGTCTTTTTGCAGTTTTCACCCTGTGCATATGATAAAATTAAAAGAACAACAGTCCTCTAAAAATTACATAATGGAACTGTTCCTATATGGCCATACATCCAAACGATGTATGTATGTGTACATATTTTAAAACTTGCATTTAATCCAAGCTAAATAATAATAAAATTACATTCAGCCACACGTAGATAATAGATTCTAATGATGCAAAGTTGTGTCAGCACGCAGGCAACATGTTAAATAAGGCCAAATATTGTTATAGATTTCTACATATGTTTTAATGATAAAATAAGTAATAATAATATAAAGCAATGACAAGTTAAGGTTTAAAACTGCTAAAATATTTACTATGAATAATCATAAATATTCATGTATTACACAATAACATATTTAGGTATATAGAATAATTTATGGACGTTAGGTATTCAATAATGTAATACATAAATATATGTGAGGTATCCTAAAAATAATTAAAAACTTGTAGAGGGATAATAAATGTCACTCTACCTAACAATTTAAAATTAATTAATATATGAAGCACATTTTGCATAAGCATGAAATATTATGTCAATCAAAAGTTTAATCAGTTACTAACTATAAAAAATGAGTAGAAGTTATAAAATAATTCCTTATTATTTTTTTTTATAACATTACCAGAGTATTAAATTATTATAAATAAAAATAATTTAAAATTGGTGGAACAATTTATTGAATACTTTGTTTAAGTGTTGGTAAAAATATGTTTCTATACCTTTTTTGGAAAGATCATTTACTGCTTGATCAATATCTCCTTGATGTTTTAAAAAGTATGGACGTATAAATCTATTATATACAACCACAGAACCATTATTGGTGATTGGTATAAAACACCACACAAAAAAGATTGTCTGAAAACAAAATTAGACAACTATTATTTACTTAAACTATTTTGTTACTAATTATTAACTTGTTATAGAAGCAATAGTTAATTATTTAAATGGTTGAATGAATTTTATTATACTGTTAATTCAATAAAATTAAATTCTACCAAATTGAAATAAGTTCTATACATCCATAACAATATACATTAATTTAAAATGTTTTGGTTTATTTATTTATAATTACAAAAACTTACTTTGATTAAAGAATAAAATGGTATCCAGCTTAGTAAAATTGCAGCTGGTAATTCAATAAGTGTAATAAATGAAAATACCACCCAATATGTCAACCATTTTGTGTCATCATCTTTTCCACTAGATTCAACAGCTTTAATTGATGCATATGCTGGGTATAAAAAGCCAATCAAATTACTTAACAACAAGGTTCCATATCCAATTAATAAGTATAACACAAGAAACACCGCCAAACCTAAAATTTTTTTAATAATTAAAACAAAATATTTAATAACAAAAACAAGAAGTTAAGTCATTTGAAAAATAAATATATATTTTTAAATATCTCTTTCTCTTTTTGGTTTATCTTCTAGTGAGTCTAATTTTAATTATTGCAATAGCAAACATTGAAACATCCAATAAGTATATTAAAATGTTTTATCTTCTAACCTAAAATTACTTGAAATAAAAATGATGAATCACTATAAATAACATTATAGCGATATATTTTATAAATAAGGAAATAATATTGTGCAATTAAAAAATTATAAAATTAATTTACAATTTTAAATGGCAATATTGAAAAATGTTTACTTTAAAGTTAATTAATTATCAACTTATAAACAAATAAAAAGGTTAAAGGGCTACTTAAAAGTATTTTTATTATTTAATAAAATAATCACAAATTGTAGAATTTGAGAAATTTAGAAAGGAAATTTAAGTTTAAAAAAAATTATTTGTCAAATTGATGTTAACTTAGTCTAACATTATAATATGTATACATTTTATGCCAAAACCGAGGCCAAAACTAAATAGATTGTATAAAATATGTACAAAATTTTAAATACCTAATGAATATTATATCAAGTATTTAAGATAGACATATCAATAAATTAATCTATGATATAATGTTTACCTAATATTTCATTAATATAAATAAAGAATGACTCAATATTAGTATAAAATATGATAAGAAATACTTTATACATAAATCAAGACTAATTACCTAAGTACGTATGATAACTGAGTATAATATGGTTATAAGATCAAATAGATTAATTGCATTTATTTAAAACTAGCTGTATAACAAAAAAATGAACAGATTTACCATACGTCGCTATACAGACGTATCCGTTTTAGTACAACTCAGTTCATGGGAAAATCGGCACCGATATACCTCAATATTGCCCTATTATATTCTCGCTTTGTGACTTAATTCAACCAAGATTAGAATTAGAATATCAAGAGATTGGATATACCATTAAATAGTTGTATATTTTTGAACGGGGTTCATAGATTATACCAGCCTCCAAACTTTAACCTGATTTCTCTAACTACCCATAAACTTTAGTCAAAAATTGGTTAAGTAGTTTATACATTTATAAGCTACTACCACAAGGACATTGAATTTTGATGTACATTTGAATAACAAACAATAAATTGAATCTTTTATTTAAAAAATCCCATAGCTAAGCTGTTTGACTTGTCTATAACATTTTATTTAACCTGAGTACAGACATAGAACACATGTTGGTAATAACAAATATAAGTATGATCTAATTTCTAAATAGTATTAGCACAAAGATGATAAATTATTACTGAATAATGATTAATATTCAATGAAAAATAAAAACTGTAGGTAATTGGTCCTAGATTGTTTAACACGTTGACTGCCATGCGACCGCCGGTGGCCGCCAGCGGCCATAATAATATGTATCATTGATACGCTAAGCAAATTTTCCAGTGTCATTACAAATTTGTATATATACTATTGAATTGTATGTTAACTAAAAAATTCAAAAAAAATATTAAAAATATGTTTATTACATCAAAAAAATTGTAATTATTCCCACTACGCCACGGCGCATTTTTCAGTTCATTATTGTAGCGCCATGGAAAAGCTAATAATATAAATCTAAATTCATTTATGGCAGCCCGCGGCCGTATGGCCTCCTAGGAATGATATGGTGCGGCAGCCGGCGGCCTAAAAATTATCGATACGTAATTATTTTTATGTGGCCGCCGGCGGTCGCATGGCAGTCAACGTGTTAAGATGGTGATATTTAATAGATTTTATTGAAATTAAATTAAAAAAATAATTCTTGATTTGTATTTGTTTGGACATTTAAACTTTAACCTTAAACAAATTTTAATGTCATTTAGATTAGTAAATACCTACATTTTAGTGTAATTATTTAAGCAAGTTTAGAAAATAGGTATAAATTTAATTTGTAAAAGGTTCAATAAATGATTAATACTATTATTCGTAATAATAAATGAACCAGTAAAAAAATAAAATAAATAATTGAATCATAAGTATCATCAAATTACAGATCCAGAATAGTATGTGTAAGCAGTGTAGGACATAGCTTAGAGAACTGTGATTCACCAAAATATATTCATCAATATAAAATACAAATTGTGTTTGATTTGAGATTATTGTACATTTAAATTGATAGATTAATTGTATCAGTGCCTAAAATTGCGCAGTGCCCTGATAAAAAGCACACAATTGTTAATTTAAAATTTCTTACCAATAAATAAATTCAGTCTATTGATTCCTGTTTGTGCTTCAGCCCAACCGAAAAATTTACACCAGGGTTTAGATTCATCATATAGTGAATCTTTGATTGCTGATTTAGCTGAATCAAGGTGAGCTGCCATATTAAAATCTTTGATCAACTTGACTGAAGAAAGAACTGAAAAAATAAAAAGTACTGAAAATATATTCACAGTAGGTACTCCGTAAGTACTGACAGTTTGAACCACCACACAAAACTTTCAAGAGTAAAATTATTAAAATCAGAACACGGTTAACAAAAAATATTTATGAAATACAGTTTACATTACGTGTATTAGTAACCTTATTTATTTTTATTACTACAATAATGCTAGGGACTTGATAAATGGGTGGTAAGTTAATATAACTCTACATTTTCTAAAGAAAACGAAGGGTTTGTGATTTCAAATATTTAAACCAAAACACAATGCAAACCTATTTGGCGATTATAATTATTAAATGCATTTAAGTACCTACAAATACTATGTAGGCTGCTATTCGACGTAACCTGATTTTTTTTGAAAACTTAATCTATAAGTATATTATACCAGTATAAAAATTACACAAAATCACTGAACTAAAAAAAAAACATGTAAAATCAAATAAGTATGTCAAATTTAAAATAAAAAATTATAATTACAGTTTAAAACCCGGCGGCCAGTCTAGTTGTTGAAAAACCCGGACGTCGGACACGGACCACTTTATTCTGTGCTTGTAGTGAGTGGTAACGACTAACGAGTCACGACTAGTCGACTCTCGAAATAAAACAGTAGACTATTCCCTGGATATATAAATAATATTATAATAAATATAATATATCAACAGCAATCACAATGGTAAATATTGTGTATAAAGTAACCTATGTACCTATGGCATAGTCATAAATTCACAAGGAAAGATAATGGTGGCAGAATACAGGCTGGTATATTATATACCGTAACCACTTTTACATAGATAACCTTGAACCGGCAAGTTGCAACCGTTGCAACGTACGCAGGTAAAGACGTCATGTAAAATACTAAAATATTGTAAAAGTAATCTGTAAAAGTGTATAACTGTAATCACTAATCCGTAAAATCCGTTGTACAAAATTAGAACACTTTTATTACCTTTCTACGATTCGATTTCGAATTCCGATCTACAGGATAGAGAACTTTGTCGCCGCGTCTATTATTGGTCTCACGCAGTGTTGTTAGAGCGTTAGGTTTAAAAAAAAAAATGCTTTAAAGCTGGTACAAACTACAGATGCAAATTTACGCGGTTAAAAAGCCGCTTCAATATCAAATAACCTTAGCAAAAAAGTTAAAAATATCTCTACCTCGCCAGCTATATTTTAATTGTTCATACCCAGTGGCCCGGTATCCCAACATTAATATTATGAATTTTATATTATTTTTTTTGAAAATATTTAGTATGTTTAATTTGATTGCAGAGTTTGTATGTCTATTTAGTATTTTCTAAATTCGTGCGCTTTTAGTTTTTGCCCCATAAAAAACTCGGGTGGTGCTGAACACTCAGTGGTGTATACATACATTTTGTGGAGGGGGGGGGTCAAGTACAGCATTAAATTTTTATTTTTGATGTTTCCTTATTGTAAAGCGCTAAGCCACTAACACTAAGAACACTATTTTATAAAATAAAAAAAAGACCTATGGGGGATCTGACCCCCACATCATCCCCTTGTATACGCGAGACGATATCAAAAACTTAAGACTTGCAAACAAAATGTACCACTGTGCCATTAGAAACATGAAACTTTAACTGAAAAGTGGATAGATATATTCAAGAACTTCGACCCTCCCCAAAGTACTCACTAATTAAATTAAAATTGCAACTAGAAACCACCCTCAAAACTGAAAATTATTCCGCTCCAAAGGTGATGACTAATGACACACACAAAAAGACAACTAAACAAAATCTTTGGATAACCGATACTTTAAAATCATAGATAATACATTTTTATGATTAAAATCTTTTACTAAGGGTATATTTTGTTACAAATGTTTAGCCCGAAAAGTAGTTAAATGCAACCAAACAAACATGGTTTCTTATCACTGAACTAATTTTGATATGACAGATTGACAATTTAGTATGGATTTTATTCTGTGGTATGGACTATTCACTATAGATGATTAGATACGAACCTGTATGGCTGTAGTGCTGTACTAGTGTACTAGCATAATAGGTGCCTACTTCAAATAAACCGAAAGGATCTGGATTAAAGTTTACCGAGTGTAATCAAACAATTAAGAAAGATGGAAAGGATTCCAGAGCAAATGGGTTATTTGATCATGACGATGGACGGGGCTGTGATTTCGGTGAGTAAAATTACAAGAAACATGTTTCGAAAATTAATTTATTATGAATAGCTAATGATCTATCCTTTATGTTTAAACAACAAATTAATCGATCATTATTCATTTCAGTCCGGTGGTGATTTAGAGAATAATGAAAAAATTGCGGACATCATATCGAAAACAATTAGCACAAGTAAAAGCTTATATGTGCCCGATGAACAATTCCAGAACATGTCAAGTATGTTGAACTAAAAATTGAACAGTTTTTAATATTAATACCTATTTTTTTTTATTTGATTATTAATAGTTTTGTTTCAACATTATCATTATTCTGTTTGTGTGTCAAACAAGAAAATACATGTTTCCAAAATTAGACATGATCCCAACGCATTAGAAAATGATGAAGTCAGAATGGTTACCGAAGGTTCTTGATTGGAAAAACTAGTATTATTTTTTTATATTCTTAAGTACAAGATACAAATATCTAGGCTATGTAATTACTATTATATAAGTACTACCATTTGATATATTTTTCGTACAATGTTAATGATTTTTCAAATGTATTAAATTTATTACAATATTTATATTTTTGTTCACATTATTTAAAACAGTTTAACCTAAGAGGATGTGATACCCACATGTATTGTCTCCGTCTCACAAGTGCATAACATAGCAAAATTATATGCAAAGCAGAACACGTGTAGCTCCGTAAGCCTTAACAATTAGAGTAAATTGACCTCTTATAAAATCTAAAGGTAAGATTATTATCTAGACAACCTCATGAGCTTTATATTATATTTTAATTTTTAAGTTTTTTTAAGAGTTAAGTACAAACAATTTACAATTTTAAAAAACTCATAGCTCGCTTTAAAATTAAAATATAATAAAAAGCCCATGAGGTTGTCTAGATAATAATCTTACCTTTAGATTTTATAAGAGGTCAATTCACACTAATTTTTAAGCTAACGAAGCTACACGTGTTCTGCTTTGCATATAATTTGCTATGTTACGCACCTGTAAGACAGAGACAACACATGAGGGTATCACGTCCTCTTAAGCCATACAGTTTTTAAAATATTATTATTTAAGATAAATCAAACTTGGTTACAACCTACATTCAACTACCTAAATATAACGTGAAGTTTTATTTATTACCTTATGACTGTTGTAAATTGACATTTAAAACATGAATTTAAAAAGTAAAATCTTTATAAATTTAATTTTGAATTTATTTAAATTTTTTAAAAACAATTATGATTTAGCTCTTAAAAACGCAGAGTATATACATTATTGAAAATTTTTAATTTTTAATTCACAAACCAAGACAATTCAAATTATAACAATCTGCCATAAAACTATAGAATAAGAAAAAAGTTATAGGTACCAACCATATTTTATTTCATATTACATTTAATTATACACTTTTTTTAAAAAACGATGATATAGACTTTGTTCCCGATGCAGCTTTTTTTAATGCTTTGTCTTTAGCTGTTAACTTTGGAGTGACATTCTAAAAATAAAAATTAAGTTGAATTATAACTTAATAAAAAAAATATAACTAAAAATGATTTACCTTTATAACTTGAAAAGGCATTTCGTCATATTCAACTTCTTTGTGTTTCACCTTTTTATTTACATCACTTTTATTTTCATCAGCTTTACGTTTATTACATTCTACTATTTCTGGTAACCCGAGATGTTTCAATAAAGATTTTTGAATATCAATGTGTAAATATTCCGAAATTATATTGTATGCATATCTTTTGTACTGTTCTGTATTAAAAATACAATTATGAAAATGATTGATTAATATTATACACTATAATTCATTTTAAAAAGCATAACCCATAATAGGGTTGACACTTGACGGTATTGAAAATAATTTTCGTTATTACGGTATTGATTTCAATACCGGTTTGAAATGGTATACCGAAAAAACCGAAATGGTTCGGTATATCGAAACCGAAATGATTCGGTTCCCTAAATACCGATATGGTACGGTATATCAAAATAAAAATAAAATCTAACTAGTATCCATATTTTTTACTTTAATATTGTTTCACATTATATACTATAGTATATAATATAATCATATTATTGCCATTGGTACTAGAGAACAGCACTAAAACTTATTTTATACTTAAAATTAAGTTAATTTATGTAAATTCTTGAACTTTGCTTCAATATTTTGAAAAACATAAGTAGGTAACTAGTAAAACTAGTGGAATTTTTTAAACTGTCCCTATCTATCGGCTATCAACATCTATTAGTCAATATCTATATTAGTTATGGTTGATACGGTTTACAGGGTATTCCATTTATATGGTATAGGTACGGTTCATTCAGTTTTTACGGTATACCTACCATTTAGACAGGATTTTTACAGTATACTGTTCATTCAGTTTTTAAGGTATACCATTGAACAAAATAATTTTAAAATGCCGGTACACCGAAGATACCGTCAAGCCTAACCCATAATATCATTAATGATGATTAATTAGCAAAACTATATCATATTTTAATATTTATTAGTGACATTAGAAAAATTAAAAAATTTTATCTGGTTACCAGATTTAGGGACAAGGGATTTTAAGAAGTTTCTTAAATACGATTATACAATAAATATTTTTTTCTAAATAATATATTAGGTATTGCTGATAAAATTTTGTTAATATTAGACATTTATGAAATACATATTATACGGGACAACGCTAGGGCTAATTTCTTATTGATTCCAGTACTTAAAGACATTTTATTAAATAAATCAATAAACAGTGAAGTATTTTTGAAAACCTTTAGTCTTTTATATTTTGTTCCACAAATAGAACATGCCGGTTCTGTGAAAGTAAAATAAGGTCTGCCGACCGACTACCCTATCATATCCCTTCCATGCGGCCAAATATCACCGACAACGACCGACCATAGTGCACAAGACAATTAATGTTATCGGCTGTCATCGACGCAGAGCAGCAGTGCTATAATCGGGAGAATTTGGTGTGGGCAGTGCAGAGTAGACCCATTTTGTTATCTCGCAAGGCATGTTCACTCATGGAACAGAGTAGAGGAGAAATATTTTACCATCAGTTGCCTGTAGGCTTGTTTCGCACACTTTAAATGAAGATGAAATGGCTGCATTTTGATTAACATTTATTTGTTGTGTGATTAACACTTTTGATACTTTTTCAATTTTAGGTGTAAGCCACTCCATAGTTTTATTTTCATTATACTGCCACAAAATTAAATCTCCAACTTCTATAAAAAATGTTTAAGAATATTAGTTAATGAAATAAATTTAACCTTGAAATTAATCAAAATTAATTTTATTTCCATTTATATAATATGTTATACCTTTTTTAGTAGCAATTTGTTTTAAATTGGTCAATTCTGATAGTTTCATTAATAGGTTATTTAATTCTGGAAGAGATTCATCCACTAAAATTTGATCCAATGGACAGAACATAGAAGAACACTATAAATCATAATATTGATGAAAACAAAAAAAAAATTAAATTAATTATAATTATTATTAACTTTACCATTAGGTAGTTACTAGGCATAGTATAATATTTTACTGCTATTTTTGTATTTATGTTATTTAAAATAATTTTAAATCAAAATTTCTTTGTAAAATTACTACAGATGGGTAAAAGGATGGCTAGCAATTTATTTGGGTGTATCTATACTCAATTCCTCGTAAGTTAACCCACTTTTTTTTTGCGCACGCAGAGTAAGATGAAAATGTTGTGACAATATAATTCACTATAGTTTTACAGTTTCACGTTGCAAAACACCACACTGTGTACGCGATGAACTATATCGGCACAACATATTCACTATACACTGCGTGCACTAAAAATAAAAAGGTGGGTAAGTGGATGTCGCTCTGCTGTACAGTTGGTTACAAGTGGGTCACTGTAAAGGATGGGGTTAAATTTGAATTCAATGATATATCATTGTATAAGAAAAACCGATTCTGAGCAAAAACGGTCAATCCGCCTATGATATTACCAAGTATATTTGATGATATTATTGTGAATAAAGTAATTTATATATAACCTATTTACTTCGAACCTTGTTTTAAATTTTCAATCCATCGCTATAAAAATTGAACATTTTATAAATTTTTAACTACAAAATAATTATTAAATTTTAAATTTGATAAATGTTGTCAAAATTCAAACTTTAAATGCTTATAAAAAAAATTGTGCCCATGTATTTTTAATATTTTTTAACTTCTAATATAACAATATATAAGGAGCCTTGCATTAAATTTTCACGCTTTTCTACCCAACAAATAAAATTTTATTGATATTTATAGAAAAAAAAATTGAAAACTGACAATGTCCATAAACAGCCCAAAAATAGTCAAAATATTTTAAAAATTGTATGGTGTATAGAAAATGAAAATATTAACATTCAGTAAAATTTTCATGTATTTACAGTTATTCGTTTTTGAATAACAAAAAATAACAAAACCGCTACATGAGAAATCGAATGAATATCCAATATTGTAAAAATTTAAATTTCAAACGCTGATAAAAATTTAATTTGATTTGATTGTAGACATTTTTGTTTGATAAAGGTAGACAAATTTATGAGGAATCTTGTATTACATTTTCAAATCTTAGATTTAAAAAGAAAAATTTTATGAATTCTCAACTCAAAACAATTTGCTAATTTTTGTAATTTTCCGTATTTTGTCAAGATTTGAACTTTAAATGCTTATAAATAAAAACTGTGACTAATATTTTTTAATATTTGTCAAATATTGTTGTAACAATATAGTAGGAGCCTTGTATTTAACTGTCAAGCTTTTTTACCCAACAAATAAAGTTTTAATGACATTCATAATAAAAGACTAATAAAATTGGAAACAGAAAATGTTTCTAAGCAGTTCAAAACAAATCAAAATATTTTGAAAATATGAAAGTGTATAGAAAATGCAAATATAAATGGCTAGTGAAAATGTCATGTTTATACATTCATTTGTTTTAGAGTTACACCAAAAACCAAAATCGATTTTGTGGAAAACCGATTTTGCGTAAAATTCCCGTTTTTCTTTAATTTTTATGTTGTTTTTCCCAGCGCTTTTGAAAAATATAGAGAATTTAAATTTTGATCTCACTAATGCATAGACAATATTCACTTAAGAAAAAAAAATAATAATTATATGTAATATAATGTGCAAGGTTAAAGGTCACCACCAGCTAATATGACATTTTATCTATACAGACTGAATTCAAAGATATTAAAATAATAAGCTGAACTCAATTCAAACACATAAAAGTAGCACGGACTCAACTCAATATCACTGGTTCTCTCAACTTGTCATGCCAAATCACCTCGGCAGGTAAGAATATGAAAAACAGAATTTGGATGCATTAAATCACTAGATTGTAAGTTAATGCTTACATAATAATGCCCAATAATGGAAAAAAGTATTTATAAAATATTTCTTAAACTTCTCAAATTTTTATGGGTTATTTTAAAACTTAGGCCAACCTATAAATTCTGATTCAATCTTATTTAATTTAATCCGACCTACATAGCTATAAATTAAAACATTTGGGATTAAATAAGAATTATCAGTTAATTTTTTTTTAAATAATAATCTAGATGAGCACTTTAATTTTGTGACAAAAATGTTAATGTCTCATTGTTTTTAAATTATTTAAAACTGTCTACAATTTTGTTATCAGTCTTTGAACTTTGTGAACTGAAATACAAATAATACAGCTTTAATGGAGAATATCTTTTTAGGCTATTGTTTTATACTTACTTTGACAAAATACGGTAGAAAGAGAAACATAGGGTCAACCAACGTTACAAAATCAATTCTATCTATAGGAATGACATCATTGCCTTTGAAAAATGACCTGTAAAAGTAATTTTACATTGGAAAATTCAACAAGACAAAGAACAATGAAATATATATTTACCTATGACTAAACGGTAAGGATCGCATCTGCGCTAGAGTTTTATCATTTTCTGAATACACAAATATAGCCAATTCATTAGTTTGTGGATGACGTAGTTTTATCAATTGATGATCACCATTTTCATCCTTTGTTAAAGCATCTAGGACAAGCATATCAATACAAATCCCGGACATTTCCCCCCTGATACAATTTTGATGCGGACATTTTCCTCAGTTGGAGGGAAATGTCTATTTACCATAAACACATAATATTTGTACCTATGTTACAATTATTAACGCATATGAACAACTGTGCTGAAGACTTACCAGGTAAAATAATAAAACGATTTTTTTCAAACAACTCTGTGTTTTCTTGTTCGTTTTTTATTTTTGGTTTTCTACCTCGAGGAGCCATCACACTATAATTGATATATTATATGGTACAGTTTCAATATTGTTTTTACGATAAAGATTCAAAATCGAACACTGCACTAAATCTTAAATAATAATAATTAATATATTCGACTTGTCAGCTTATAGTAGATAATTACTGTCGTCACTTTTAACTTGTACACCAGTCTCCAAAGGTTATACAACTAAATTTTACAGTACGATCTAAGCCCTACGGGGCAAGGGCTACAGCATAAAAAAAGAAATAACAATAATAAGAATAATATTACTCTAAAATCTCTATAAGACAAATAGATTTATATTTTATAAGAGATCAACATCAAAGAATAGGTTGAAAAAAAACGCGCGTAAAACGAATAGAGATAACGCACATAACCTTACTTAATACTTTATGGTCAGATACCACGGTTTAAGATAGATCTATCTTAAACCCACGATTAAAGATATACAGGTTGCACATCGCCCTATAGTAAACCGCTACCAGACTGATTTACAAAGTGACTATAAAAATCAGCTGTTAATAATTAACTAGTGGCGCTTAATGTCAACACTCAACCATATGTGTCGACATTTAGAACTAATTTTACACCTATATATCTATAATTGGTTAATTGTAATACTGCCGCTTGGAGCGCCACTGGTTAATTATTGGTAGTCATTTCGTATTTCACCTTATCAGTAGTCGATGTGCAACCTGTATATCTTTAATCGTGCTTAAACCGTGTCAGATACTCAGATCAGTACCCCAAAGAAAATTATATCATTATATATTGTCCCTGATCTCGCCCATATTGCCATATTTTATATCGCATCAGCCTGCAATACTGCAGGCTGTTCATACCAGAGTCCTCTATCACGGATTCGGACTAGGATGATAAGCGGGCCCACGATTCACGATATATATATATTGTTCTGTGATATATCTTTAAATTTTAATCGTGGTCGTAACTTCGTGAGCACGAATAAAGATAGACAGCTTGCGCAACGCTCTCCATACAAAACCACATTTTTGTTGAAGCCCAATGGTTCCAATACAGAAACAGCTGTTAATCATGCAAAGCTCTTAAGCCATGGTTGTGAGCGGGCTACAGTCGTGAAAATTTAAAGAGAGATAAGTTTTCTTTCTATATATATAATGAATGTTCTTCGTTGGCGAAATCGATAACAGATGTCGTTTACCTTTTTCCTCCATGATTGTGCTGCATTTTTGCATAATCTGCCCACTACGGCACTTCGTCCGTACGTCGGGCGATATTCGACCCTTCCGTCTTTCTCTTTTCTTTCCCCGATAGGTACTCACGTCCTATAGCTCTTTATAGGGAGAATACCTACGACGTACACGACTTGTGAGCCAAAAAAAAATTACTTTGGCACTTCGAGTTCGACGGTGCGCGTCCGTCCGGTGTATGGGTATTTGTCTTAACTCTTAGACCTTACTACCTTAGTGCCGTTTAGTTCGTTGTGTGGTTCTTGCTGACTGCTGACCGGTTGTCGAACAAGCTCGACAATGAAATAATACTAAAATACGTATCGTATTGCTGTCTAGAAGCAAGCGCACACACATTGGCTGCGACATATCCTGTCCATATCACTATACGATCATTACGTTCAAGGATCGTTTACTCGAATACTATAAACACGCATCAGGTGAGCCGAAAGATCATCTACGCACCTGCATATTAATTAATAACAATACTATAATTTACATAAGTTTATATTATATATTTACTATTATTAGTCTGTTGCCTAACGAAAATTCTAACATTGTTCTAAAAACGTTGCCTCATTTTGGGTTCGACATTGGTGGATATTATTATGGTATAGTGGTGCGAGAACATTAATAACTAATAAAATAAATAATAATATACCTACCTAATAATTCTGAACCAGAGTTTAATTTGAATGTCTAACCAATTTAATAGTAATGCACATTTGTCATCAGTAGTATGTCGTCTGTGGTTTTATTTTTAAATTATTTTATTTTTTTAATTGACACATTAACATAATATCTTTCTTCATATATATGACCTCTGAACTAAGATTTCAATTAAATACCATTGTGGTCATTGACTATACGCTCATAAAATCATAGCATACAATATTTTAATGCATAATATATTTCTTTAATATTAAGTATAATATGTGGCCCACTAGCCCATTTAAAATATTAAACAAGCCTAAGGATTGTTTGAAACAAAATAATACATACTTCTCTCCAGACTATCTAAATTTGCATATTGTATCTATATCTATAAAATTAATAAGTTATCAAAGGTACTTATAAGGTAGGTATCTTATACAAATATTTCTTTAAAAATCAAATGAATTGACCTATCACCTAGGTAGTGAACTAATTAATATAATAATTTTAAATATATTAAATATTTCAAATTTAAATACTATACTCTGTTCCACTAGAGATCATGTCGGTTCTGCACATCCCTCTACGTCACCCTGCTGTCGAAACTGGTTCCCCTATGACAGGGTGTGGCGTAAGGGAACCAGTTTTGGTTGGCGCGTTGTATGATCTCTCTTGGAACAGAGTATAGATATATTGTTTTTATCGATGTAATTACCTTAATAATACCTAGTTATATTAAATTACTTAATAAAGAATACTACTAACCTAACTCTTTAACATATTTAACTATTTATTTTATTTTACTAATTCATTGTTTTTATATGGTATGAAATAATTTTGGGTTCTGTTAGTTATTTATTATGGTGTGACCATTGACCTTCAATTTATAATTGATTGTTTCTACAGAATACAAACCGAACATGTATAGTAGGTAGTTGGTTTTGGGAGTTTGACTTACCCGAGAACTTACTTATGTCTCTAGTGATGTGGATTATAAACATGTGATGACTATATAATATGTATAACATCCATAACCTTAATACTCATTTATTTTTCAAATATCTGTCTATATAGTATTGTAGTCTATTCCACTAGAGAATTATCACTTTTCGCGCATCACGAATGATTCAAGTGGTGCGCCGAGAACCACGTGATCACGTTAACACAGGGAAGTTGGTGGGGGATGCGCGGCCCTGACGAGAATCGGTCGGCGGACTGATTGTTCTCTCAAAGAATAGACTATAGTTATCTACAAGGAAAAATAGTTAAATAGTTAAATTAAAAAGATACCTATTTTAGAAGATCACTTAAATTTATAGTTTTTATGCACCCAAATATAAATAAATTTATAAATTCATATAGTTTTTTTTTTTTTTTTTTTTTTTATTGAACAAACATAATATATTTACAATCTGTATTTACAAGTGATACAATAAGTAAATGGGATGATTTTTGGTAAACAGGAGGGGGAAGTCACCCAGTGGCGGCACCCCGGACTTCATATAGTTAGAGTTTTCTTATTATTTATGTAATGTTATTTTTTACTGTACTTATGAATATTAATTTCAAAGGTCTACATCAATGGGACATAATTATATGCCCCTCATAAAATAAGCACAGTATAATATTGAAAACTATATTTGTATACAACCCAAGTAAAAGAAAAAATTAAAAATGTAGGCACCCAGTTGCAACTTAGGCATTTTTTTAAAATTATAAAACCTACAAAAACCTACAACACCAATTGAAACTATAATAATATACACATTTAAAAATCTAGGACCCATTTACCCTTGCCCATATTATGAACTATGTGAACAAAATGTGTCTAAACTCCAAAATATTATACTGAGATGAATAAAATTGATTGAGATTTACTAGAGCAGTTTATTCAGTTTTAGCTCAGTATGAAAATTAATTATTTGGGATCTAGGTACCCATGTGAAATTGACTAAAATAAATAAAACATAAGTTATTTTTAAATTTTAAAGTGGTAAGAGGGTTATTTGTGCAAACAATTTGTAATTTGCTTGTAAAACATTTTTTGAAGTGACCCTGGCTATTAATAAATGCATGTGATTACTAAAGATTACAATAAATAAGCTGTTATGTTTTGTTATATACCTAGGTATATACAAAATATAAATTATAATATTTATGTAGTGTGATTATTCATTGACAATTACATGAATCTGTCAATATTTCTTTTTTAGTAGAAATTATTAAGTGAAGGCAACTACCTACCTATTTTTTTTTTAATTTTGTACTTTGCAGAAATTTCGACATGTTTACACTCAGTAATTTACTTGCGCATCAACTTTTGTTTTTTAATAGTAATCCATAGTTATTATTACTAAATATATGGTACATCATATTTTAAATGGGTAGGTACCTACTGCCAACTTATTGAAAAACATATCCACACGGTTTTTGTTTTAAAATCTAGGCTATATTCAATATTCATTATTGACTAGTTTGTGTTGAAATAATCACTCTATAGGTATGTTTATTTATTGTAATCAGTCCATAAATCATAATGAATAAATATGTATCAATGATTTGTTTTAATTAGTTAGTAATAGGTATTTACTATAATTAATACTAAATTATACACATTAATCCGCATTCTTTTTAATAAAATAATTATTCACTTTCTATCTTAAATATTTTTTTACATCAAAAGACATTGGTGTGATTTAATTTAGGAAATATCGTGAAAGCTGATACCTGTGATCTCTCTTCATCATGAAAATCTGGACTGTTCAACATACATTTAACTATCCATGGGAGACAGTGGTTCAAGCAGCTTGGAACAAGTACCCAAATCCAATGAACACAGCTGTCCTTGGCATAGATGTTATTGATCGGCAAGTAATTAATGGAGAACTACATTCACATCGGTTAGTTACTACTAGATGGACATTACCGAATTGGGCATGTGCATTAATGGGTCCAATAAGTACGTTTTATGCCAGTGAGTATTCTAAAGTTAATCGAGATCGTCGGCAGTTAAAGCTAGATAGTCAAAACTTATCATTGGGACCATTTGTCATAGTACGAGAAAAGCTCACATATAAGCCACATCCTGATGATCCACAAAAAACTTTACTCAAACAAACAGCTTATGTCACTGTAGAAGGCTTACCATGTAGTGGATATATAGAAAATATACTTACCAGTAAAATTTCAGGCAATGCAGCAAAAGGAAGACAAGCTATAGAATGGGTTATTGAAAAACTACAACATAAACAACCATTGTAATTTAAAATTGTTATTTAGGCCTACAGTTATATCATTATATTGTGAAATTAAACTTTATGGTTATACCGATCAACCATAAAATTTACAACACTCCTAATTTATATATTATATATTATTATTATTAATTTTTTTATATAATATAAAATAAATTGGAAACATTTGTAAGAATTGTATTAAAATGTAGAACATACTAAAAAAATAAAACTATATTATACTAACTCTGAGTTTAATTTTGATTTTACTGATCTATATTTAGTAATAAAATAAATATTTAAAAGTCAAATTAATATTTGAAGTAAACATCTGGATGCAACTAGAGTTTAGTTGTGTTGCTTTCTTATAGTAAAATAAATATATATATATTTCTCAGAAGTATTAAGTTTTTTGAGTGTTACTTATAATATTTGCAGTGGTAGTATAAACATTAGATTACCTACAATATTGTATGTATACATAATGATAATTTTAATATAAATAATTATGAATGTTATATATTAAGATTTATACTCTGTCCAGTCTCCAGTGAGAGAAATGAATACAACAATTAAAGGGGCCTACTACTCAGTGATTACCTATACCTGTTTGAATTTTTTTATAATACTTTGTCAAGAATAAGTAATAATTACGATTTTAAACAATTCTAAAAAAAGTTGATTTTATATGTTAATATTTTAGCTTATAAAATATTATTTAAAAATTAATAAAAAAAAAAACTTATTCATTTGATAAGTATATTTTATTATGAATTTGGATATCAATCTCATACCCACTAAAATGCAATTCAAAAAGAAAATTTGAAAAAAAAAAATTCCTGATGGGTGTAAATAACTTGGATTTCATAATTTCATCATGCCTTTGATTAACATGTTGAGTGCCATGCAGCCTGTCACACATATGTATCATCGGTATGCCAAGTATACTTTTCAGTGTCATTTCAAATTCTATGTACTATTGTATTTGAAAAAAAAAATTCAAAGAATTATAATGATTCCTGCTACACCACTTCACTTTTTTAGTTTATTTAACAATATAAAACCATATTAATTTACAGTCGTTGGCGGTTGCAAAAGTTTAAAATTTGAAAATTGAAACATGGCAATCAACATTTTAATTCAGATAGTGATAATTTTATATAATGTTGTATTTATATTATAATAAACTATAAATAAATCCTAGGTATAGTTACTTTTACATATAATAATCACACTGAGCCAGTCTGCCACACATATTTCTTAATAAAATGATAAATTGAAAGATTGATGGTTATTTATTTATTAATTTTTAATTAGGTAATCAAATATTTAAATTAATTTCACAAATTCAAATAAAAACCAAAATTTGAGTGATTCATTATTATTTATTAAAATATAGAATAAGTATCTATTTATATTTACTATTGTATGATCTTGATGCAGCAACTAAAAACTTAAAAAAGTTGTTTGTATTTAAATTATACTTTTACGTCTATTTAAGATTATAAGTATTTTTGAATATACATATTATGTATGTCAATATTATGTTGTAAATTATTTTAGGTTTATCGATTTTATTAAGTTTCCCTCATGTAATACAAACTACATCAAGTCTTACCTTTAATAAACACAATATGTTTAACAAATTTAGATATTCAATCCAAATTCATTTAGTTTACTAATTTAATGCTATTGAACACTTGTAATCTACATGTCACACATAATGTACATATTTTATAATATTAGAAATTACTAATAAATAGTTATAAAAGCAACAGTGTGGTTGTCACTAAAGATAATGATGCATTTATATATCATTTCATGTTAAACATTTCATTCATTCGTCTATCCCTGTTGCCAATTGAGTTCAATTAATTTTTTCAGTGGAGCAAAATATAAAAATAAAATAATAACAAAACAAAATGGAATTTAATGAAGAATGGTTTGGTTTCAGTCGTGTAAGATACATACACCATGGACAACGAAAAGGACATTGAGAGCGGCCAATCAATAAATGACAATAATATGGAGGATATTTCTCAACCAGATTTGCTGTGCCATACCTATGCAGTTGATTCTCAAGTGGCAAGTAAAACACATTTAGACATAAACCATTCATTGTCATTTAGTAATACTTCTTGTGAACATTCTAAAATTCAAGAAGAAGAATGCGCTTTTTTAACAAATAACCTACAAAGTGTTCATCTGACACGTGACAATCCATTATCCATTAATCTTCCATCACGGAGACGTCGATTAATACCCATCAACAATAAACCTAATGATTATGACTATGAATCAAGTTCCGGTAGTGAATTCAGTGACAGTACTGATAGATTCTTAAATGTGGACCTCGGAAACAAATCAATACCTGAGTTAACAGCTGAAGAAGAACTCAAAGATGAACGAAACTGGAGGTCTTGTACGGTAACTGGTGTTGTTAGTAAGATTGATATGAAAGTAATAGAGCCTTATAAGTGTGTGCTATCACATGGTGGTTATATGACAACTGGTTCACACAATGCTATTATTGTATTTAGTGCATGCTATTTACCGCATCGTGATCGTGTAGACTACAATTATGTTATGAATAATCTATTTGCATATGTAGTTTCAACTTTGGACCAACTAGTTACAGAAGATTATGTTCTAGTCTATCTTCAAGGGGGTACTTCTAAGGATTGTGTTCCTGGTTTCTCTTGGCTGAAACGTTGTTACAAGATGATTGATAGAAAACTAAGGAAAAATTTGAAGTTTTTGTATTTGGTTCATCCGACGTTTTGGTTAAAAACTCTTGTATTAATGATCAAACCATTTGTAAGCTCAAAATTTGGCAACAAGATACATTTCATCAACAGCCTAGATGAACTCTATGACTGTGTGCCAGTTGAAAGAGCTAGTATACCAGATAGGGTAAAACAATTTGATTGTACAAAATCAAATTCTAATAAGTAGTATTTTTTTTCACCCAACAACTATTTTTAATTTTATTACTAGTGTTTAAAATTCTTCCTTAAACCTATATACTAGCCTAATTTTATCAGTTTGCATTAGTTAATTAGCCCAGGGAAATAACTACTCATTTTATAACAAACTGTTATAATTATTAAATATATTTTTATTTTTTATTCTCTGTAGTTATGTTATTTATTTAAAAAAAAAATATTTACACTTATAGCTTAATCAACTTATAAGATGATTTTTTAAATCTAATATTGACTAATTATTCACCATGTTATATTCTTATCTATTCAAAATTGAATAATAAAACGCTCTAATTACATCCTTGTTTAATATACACATTGAAATATTTTTCTCATTAATTTAAACACCTAATATTTATATCCTAATAACATACCAAATAAAAATAAGAAAAAAAGAATACTATCAAAACAATTCAACTACTGTTATGTATAATACCTAATAAATAATTAATAATTAATAATACAATTTACAAAGAAGAAAATTCAGTAAATTACATTTAGTTTTGTTAGTTTTAATATTACGCTGCGTTGCCCATCAAACTTAAATGTAACATCATAGTCTGTGTTTTCTTAATATCAATTGAGAGTTTGAATTAATGTAGTAGCTTATTTAAAGGGGGGTTACATGGGCACTCTCCCTCCCACCAAATTGAAATTCACCTTATTTTATACTTTTTTCATAATATGGAGTATTAACCTCTCTTACTAATTAAGTGTTATGTTACAATCAAACACATGTATTTTGTTTATTTGATTAAAAATTATGCCATTATTTTGAGATGAAAAATATGAGTTATAACTTATTACAATGTAAAATTTGAATTTTTTGTCCCGGTATAAGACATTTTTATATATGCCCATGATTTAAAGTATTATGAATACACCATTAACAATGTTGTGACCCTTAAGGTTTGATAATAGGTTAGTTTACAATAATGTTAAAACTAACAAAACTATATGTGAACTTAAATTTTCAATGTAAGATGAAGACAACAAATGCAAGTATGGTGTTTATTCAAGAACACAATTAATGTTAAAATTGCTTTCACTATTAAAAAATGATTTAAATATATTTTATATTTTGATTTAAAATATTCATGAACATCAAATTATTATATAAAGAAACGTTCTTAATTTCAATACTTAACATACATAATTGATTTTTAAATATAATATTATAATATAGCCATAAGTAAGAAATATTATTACTTTAGTAATACATATTTTAAAAATTAAAATTGATTTTTTCCTTTTTTAGTCCAGTGACATACAATCATATTTAGGTAACACACAATAGCTTCAATATAAGCTAATTAATATATATTTTTGACTTTTGTTAATGTTAGTAAAAATATTTAGGAAGCAATTTGTATTTTTAAACAAATTATAATAAAATTTCAATTTTAATTAGAAAAAAAATGTTCTAACATATTGAATTCCTGGGCTTAATATACAAACTGCAAAATGTATTAGTGTAATACAGTATTAATTAAATACCTATCTAGTCTAATTTATTATTATCATGCCATGTTTTTACTAGTGTATATTTATTTTGTGATAATTTTAATCCTAGTTAATATATTATATTTTTCTGTGTTGCAATCTCATGTGGCCATGTTTAGTTTTTACGTTAATATGAACTTTATTTGTTTGTATTGCGTATTGATAATCATCATGACACAGTCGAACGTGGTTAACTCAACATTGAAAGGACCGGCCAGAAAGTTTGAGTTATTCAAGAATTCTAGTTATCCAAAGATAATACAATTTTAGGAAATTCTAGGGACTGTGGAAAGAGTTTGAGGTATTGTACAATAACTTAAAGAAGTTTGAGTTAACCACGTTCAACTATATTATAATTGATTTTTACAATAAAAAATTCAGATATATTAATTTTGCACATTTTTCTGGAATAATTTTTTTGTGGATAATATTAAAATTGAATCTGAAGCACAGTGGCGTATTTACGGGGGGGGGGTCCCCGTGTCTGGACCCCCCCCAGAAAAAAATATAATATAATATAATTATTACGTCGTAACTCGTATGTGTTTTTTTTATATTATAAACTTGTAGGTACCTAATATTTAGACCCCCCCCCCCCCCAGAAAAAATTTCAAAATACGCCACTGCTGAAGCAAGACTTTCATAGCCTCGTAGGTGCCTTTTGCCTATAATTATAAAAATCAAAAGGAGAGATATAAGACATTGCAATAATTAATAGTAAAACATTTTTTATTGTTTACTTTATATTGAGACATTGCTTCCTATGTATAAAATTTTAATTGCAATATATGAGTTTTACATCGTTTTTTCCAACAATGTCCATACATATATTTATCATATTGCAACCATAATATTTATTAACTAGGATTATTATTCCAAACACTATTTAATATTTTTAAACACTTTTATAGTAGAAATTTATATTAATTTTTCTTGTTTGTATTGTATTTTTTTTTTTTATATTGTAACTAGAAAAAGCACAAAAAGACTGTTATTGTTGCTGAATTAACAGCATTTATTTTATGAAACTATAACTACTACTATAATATTATGTAAATCAAAACAAAAAATAATACAATTTTGTATACAATTCTTTTACTGAATATGGATTAAAATCAACATATTTTTTCTTAGATAAAATTGTATTTTCAATTTAAAATTGAACATGTTTACTGTTAAGTATAATATTATATTGTATAATATAACTAATGAGACAAAATTAAATAAATAAAAAAAAAAATCTAATTCAAGCTTAAATGCAGTTCAAGATTTTTGGTTTTTATTGTCATAGTAGGTACATTATTCATTATTATTTTGTTGTATAATAAGCCATTGTGAAAAAAATTCTAGACAAATTGAATACCTAATGTTCAATTCTTATCTGTTTATTATTAACCATAAAATGCATTGTTCAGATTAGACATTGCCACATTGGACAATGCAATTTATTTCCGCACAATATTTTATGATAATGTCTGTTTGTTTGATAACCTTTTAGAAACAAAACTACTGTCCAATTTTAATTTTAGCTACATTGATACTGTTACATAAACATTTAAAATATAGGCCTTGGACAGCAGAATACTGCCAGTAATTGCAAAACTTTTCATAAAAATATTAAAGCTAGGAACAATGCAATCAAGGTTAATACACCAGCAGGTACAGGCTACCAATCATGCTCTCAACCTTTGGGATTAATCTCAGTCCATAATGTACAATGTGTCCCTACCCAAACTGACAGGTTGGTATGCTGCTCATAATTTTCTAATTAATGCCTTCTTTCCCTCATTAGACTAAATTGAAATAACATTTTTTCCTTTCGGACTAAATTTTTCATAATATATTAATTATTAATGCTTTCGTTTTCAATAATCTAATCATAATAAAAGCTATTCTCCTTTTTTTCTATTCAAACATTACTTATCTTCAATTTTTGTTTTTGCACTGTTTAATACTATTCTTATTATATTTTAAGATGGTTGAGAATTTGAGATACTCATTTTAGTATTTCTTTAAACAAACAGCAATCGAGGTTGCATAACAATTAGAACTGTTTAAATCAAGAATAATCTACTACATGATTTATAAATACTATTTCATTTTAGTGAGATCATTATGCAATATTAATTTATATAATTATAATTGTACAATTAACACAGTCTTTTGACAGATTAAAAGTAATATTTATTAGATTAGAAATTTTAGTTACAATATAAAATAAAACTTAATGATGTAGGTATTAAGGTTAAATTAATTGTGTTTATATTTTATAAAATAATTATAACTTGTAAAACTGTACAATGTTTCTTATTTCTAACCAATTTGTGATGTGATATTATTCTTGTATCATGAACCACTCATTTTTTTAAAAAAGTATTGATGTTTTTGAAAAATAAAATTTTACATGTTTTCCAGTCGCAAAAATAATATTAAAATTTTTTTTTAAAGTTTTGCTTCTTTTTTGAATGACAAATACAGTTTTAATTCATATTCTAATTCAAAAAATTTTTCTAAGTATCACGATACATAAAAATCAAATTTATGGCAAGTAGGTAGTTAATGAGTTATAACTTATACGTATTAGGTTTGGTTAGGTTAGGTTAGCAGAGTAATGGACGAACATTTTTCAGAGTAACCGCCAGAGCCGGATTGGTTAGACAAGGTATCTAGAAAATCTCGGTAGGCCGTAAAAATCATGAGACCTTTAGAGAATAATCAGCAAATTATAGGAATTTACGTTGAGCCTTTTTAATCGCTAGCGAATCTAAAGATAATTGAAGTCCCAAAGAACAGATCCGTACTCAAGAATATGATGGACAGACCAGGAGCAATAGAAAAGCTTTAACAAAGGGTTCGATTTCAACTCAAAAGAGATATGTTGTCTTAGTGTTTTGCAAGAAAGATCTCCTGAATATAGAGTTATATTGTTTGGGGATAAGTGAAAACTTTTGCCTTAGTCAAAATCAGAAGAACTGATTGGGAATATCATGGATGGACGGATGGTATCAAATGGTGTAATCAACAGTAATTTGTTGGGCTAGGCAAAGGTAAGTATTTAATACATTTAGAGATAAAAAAATAAAATAAGTATACATATTTTTATATATTAAATAAATATAATTAATAAAATGACAAATTAATTTGAAATAATATTATCCACCAAAACAATCAATACTTTGAAAATACCGCCGTTACAAGATTTTTATTAATTTTATATGTATAAAAATTGATATAGGTACCTATTTGTTTAATATTATAAAAAACTTAAATTAAAAATCCTAGTATAAAACTATATTGTTAGCTTATTTTTTTAAAGATTGTAAATAAAGTCCAAGACTTTTTTGAACTTCTGGAGATTGCATGAATTTAAGAACAAAATCAAGATCTTTTTGCTTGTTATCAATTAACCATTGAATCGTTGGTTGACGACTAATATCTTTAGTCATCTTAAATGCCCAAGCTATAAAATAAATAGTGAAAAATTATAATCTCTACAATTTAATTTAATGCATAACTAAATACTACTCACGAGATATCCTTTGAAAATTATTCAAAAATTGTGTTCCTTTCTTAAGAGCACTATCTGAATCTGGCAAACTTTCATCGACCAAACCAACTTGTAATGCTTCATCAGTAGTATACATTTTTCCTGTGGTCAATGACACTTCAGCTTTCCTTTGACCAATAACTGCAACCATAGTATCTTGAAACCTAGTAGATAATTAATACAAAATGTAATGAATTTAAGTTTTGTATTTTAGCTATTACTAAAATTATTTTGCTAATTTAAATTTACCATTTTGGAGCAACAATTCCTAATTTAGTCTCATTAAGTCCAATAGTATACTTTGGTCCAACCATAACTCTGTAATCACAACTCATGGCAAATAAGCAACCTCCTGCTGGACTATGACCCTTTGTATAATTTTAACAAAACTTAGGCAACAAGAAAATATTTTTTTTTAACATTAAATACCTAATAATAATAGGTCTTGGATGTTGCACTAATTGTATGTTTTTATCTCAACACTCTAGTTTGTTACTTTACAGTTTATGCCTCAATTTGTTAAAATTTAAAAACAATGAGTGTAAAAACCAATATCTAAATACTATTTTGAACAATATTATTTAATTTGTATTGAATTTAATGAAATTATTTCAAATTACAATGTATTCAATCTGTAATCAAAAAGTTAGATAACTGTCAGGAATACTTTATAAATAAAAATGAAAAAAAAGTTAAATTTTGATAATCTTCAAGTATAACATCCAAGCTCATCTAATAATAAATATTATTATTTTAACCTAAGTATATCTTATTATATTACATGCACTAACTCACTCATAAAAATTATTTTTTTTTAATATTAAGTTTGAATCAATACAATTTTTTAATGTTTTTCAAGCATATTAATTCACATTTTTATTGTTAGTATAAATTGCAACACTTTAATCAATAAATATGTAATTGCTTTACATTAATGACAGCTACAGTAGGAAACGATGCCATATAAAGCGAAAGCCATGTATCTTGTAGGACTGTCCAGAATTTGGCTAATCTATCAGGATTTGGATTATAAAATTCTGTTATATCTAATCCTGCACAAAAAACTTTCTGCAAACCCTGAAATTACATTTTAATACAAAATAGTTGAGCATGTTTATGTTCACGTACAAATGTATACATACTGATGTCAATATCATTCCTCGGATTTTATCTTTTTGTAATTTATTAAGCTGAGTATTAATTTCATCTAAAAACTCGAGGTTTAAACTATTAACAGGTGGCTTATTCATTGTCACAGTAGCTATGCCTATAAAAATTAAATTTAAAATGAGCCGGTATCTCAGTATCTGGTATAAATAAGGAATAATAAAACAAAACAGATAGATTGATGTAATAGAAAATTATAACTAGATTAAATAATGGTACCTGATTTTTCATCAACCGTTGACTGTAACATTGATTGGGAAACATGCCGACAATTGACAAATTTATTAGTAGTGTGTAAAATATACCTTCTCAACATGTTAAATTTTTTTTATAACTTATATTTTAATTGAGGTCAATTAAAATTAACAGAATATTTAAATGTTGATCAAATACTGATGCTAAAACGAAAATAATTATTTGAGAAGTGAGCAACTTGAAAGATAATACAGATATACCAAATATTTTTATAAACAAAAATCAAAGATAAATTTGTAATAACTTAATTATTTTTTAAAACTTGTGAAATGAGATTAAGAAACTTATTAATTATTATTACAGGACTTCTGGTATTTATCTTGCTCTTATTTACATGGTCGGTCACATTGGTAAATTTCTTTGTAGACCAACCTTGGATAAAAATTATACCTGAGAAATATTTACTAATTTGTTATCACTTATCAATAATTATTTAACAACAGCTGTTTAACGTTATCGTTTACAGGTAAACCAACAAGTTGTTGAATAATACATATTATTTTAAAAACTATTAATTTAAAATTTTTTTTTTTTAGTTTAAATAACTGTCCATTTAATCCATATTTTGTATTGTTTGAGTGTTATATTAAGTTTATTGTTTTTCATAATATAGTACATTTTATATCATAAATTCAAAGAGATTGTTTGAAAAAATGTTAAAACTTTGAATACTGTATAGATAAATAGTATTAGACAAATATAATTATTTTCGTTCACACTCAACTTGGTAATAAGTAAACATTAGTCATTACCTACATAATCATTAACAATCATACAATTTGACAAAATCTTGAAAATAATAATAATTAAAAAAATGTTTATTCAGTAAAATATTAAAATTAAAACTGTAGGCTTTTTTAATGTTACTTAGAATAATGTTATGTTCTAAATGATATTTTAATAACAAAATTAGGATATCAAATTAAAAATACAATAGTGATTTCCATTTATTATAACATTTAAAAAAATATAGATTTTCATTATTTATTATCCATAACAATGATACATTATAAATGGAATGTTTTTGTACAAAATACCTTAATAAATACAGACAATTACACAATAAAATTAATAAAAAATCATTAGATCATCACATTGTAATGAGTGAATTAGCAATATAATTTTACAATTTTTTATGTAGAAATTATTCCACTTTATCTGTTAAATCTGTGAATAAATAAGATTTCCGTGATTTCTCAATTCCAGTTAAACAATTTCCAATAAGAAATTGTTTGTGAATTTCAGTTAAATATTTGATTGCACTCTGATACATTCTTTCTGATATTTGTATTTCTGTCACAAAGTAATCATTCCTCCATTTTTCCACAAAATCTGTAGATGTATGCCAAATAATACTTGAACAATTTTTCCTTTCAAGTGTAAGAATGTTATTACAATTAGGATTTAAAGCAATAGCGAATTCACTTTTTTTTATGACTTTCATTAATATATAATGAAAGGCATTTTCAGAATCCTTGAATTTCATTATAACATGTGAAATTGGTCCAAGCATTGTTTTAACAATATCATCAATTAAAATAGCAAAACAGTCATATGATGGGGCGTATGTTTGTTCATCATTATTTCCAAATTTAAAACTGACAGAGTCTAACCACAATCTTAGACCGTATTCTACACATACACCTAAACACAAATTACAGTTTTTACATTTGACAGAATTTGATGATGTCCAATGTTTATTTCTAATATAGATTGATACTTTGTCGAAGTAGCAGTCATCTTCTTGTGGATGGAAAACTAAATTGTCTGTACCTCCGTGACAAAACATATGATCAACTTCATATAACTCCACGGGTAAGACTCTACGAAAATTAAATGATTTTGTGTCAAATAACTTTTGACATGAGCAACATGTAATGAAGACTTCTTCAGCACTTTTCACTTCAGGCATGTATTTGGGTACAAATGAGAAGCAAGACGATTCAGTTTTGGGGCAACTATTCAACTGTGCACGAAACAGCAATTTGTTGCCATACACTTTGATATCTCTAACTTCATCTTCTTCAAGTGTATATTCTTTAATGTTTAAAATGTATATATCTTTTTCTGCTAATGTTATAGTAATTGATTTTACATCAATTTCGATGTCATAATCGATAGGTACATTATCAGAAAATGTTATATAAACTTGACATGATAATACATATATTTCAAATTCAATACATACATGTTTAATGTGCATTTTGGGGCATATAAAGTTAAAATAAAATTTAAAGGACGAATAAAAACAGTCCGTTTACGCTAATAAACTGATAAAAACTACAAATATTCAACTATTTCAACTTAAAAGTAACGGTTAATGAAATCTGATAAATCGAATATCTTAACAAAAATTGAGATTCCGGATCCCCAAGAGATGAAGTCAAGAATTAAAAATTAGAAATTATACTCTTTTTCACGAGAGAAAGGTAGCGGCGGCCGACCAAAACGGGTCCGCCGCCGCGCATCCCCCACCAACTATCAGTGGTAAGCGTGATCACGTGGTCGTTCACGCACCAATCGAATCATTTTACATGCGCGAAACGGTACCGTTCTCTCGTGAAATAGAGTATAGAAAAATTATTTTAAAAAAAAAACATTTAAACCCAACAAAAAAGTGTAAAAGTAAAAACCATAACCTCAAATCTCAATATTTTTGTATTAAGCACTTATCAGTTATCACCTCCTTCAATCCGGCTTATTATCACAGAATTCTGTATTATTATCTTCTTTGAAAAAAGATAATAATGTACACATCACGGACTAAGATATACAATACTGGACACGACAAGGTTGGAGGGTGTGGGGGGGTTGACTACGAAATGTTTTACAACAGGTAGTGTTCGGGGGGATATTTTCCTTTTAGCATTACTAGCGCCGTCCTAGTGGATACCTATGGAACTAGAACACATCTTACAAATTTCTAGTTCCATAAGTATCCACTAAGACGGCGCTAGTAATGCTAAAAGGAAAATATCCCCCCGAACTCCGCCTGTTGTAAAACATTTCGTAACCACAATATTCATCTCGTGTCCAGTCCTGTATATCTTAGTCCGTGGTACACATCACGATTATAAAGAAGGGCCTGTATTATTTGTTCCACAAAATAATTGTTCCAATTACTATTTGTTCCACAAACTACTTGTTCCAAATGTGGAGCAAATAGTTTTTGGAACAAATAGTAATTGGAACAAATATTTCGTGGAACAAATAATTATTGGAACAAATATGATGCGGATCAAATAGTAATTGGAACAAATTATTTGTGGATCTTAATAATATTTTTTTTGGAACAAAAATTATTTTTTTTTAAGTACTATTTGTTCCACAAAACAATTTTCTTAACCCTGTGACCCACTTGGGGAGGTGTTGCACAGCAAGTCGGGGGATATTTTCGATTTGCGGAGCGGAGCGACGGCGCCGAGGAGCGTAGCGACGAGTGCCGCTAGCACCGCATCACTGTACGATGTTTTTTTCAAATTGGTGGCTCGGTGCAACAAAAATGCAATTTTCTCAACCCTGTGACCCACTTGGGGAGGTGTTGCACAGCAAGTCGGGGGATATTTTCGATTTGCGGAGCGGTTAGGAACACTTGGAACAAACGTTTTTTTGAACAAATATTCATGGGACAAAGTGTATTGGTACAAATGGTTTATGGAAAAAAAGTCCATAGGAACAAATGTTTTGCGGAACAAAAGTCCATCGGAACAAATATTTTGTGGAACAAAAGGTAAGATTTGGACCTTAATTAATTTGGAACAAATATATCGTGGAACAAAGGTTTCGTGGAACAAAAGGTAGTGATCCTAATTGCACTGCAATAGAACATATTATATAACTATGCTATTGCAACGTTTTAGATTCTGAGTGAAACGATGAATGTATTGATTTTACAATGTGTGTTTTTTTTTAATTTTTTAGTTTTTTAATTTTTAATTTTAATTTTTAATTTTTTTTTGTGTCTGTCATCACGTTTTAGGACAGTAAAAGTGCTTGGATTTTCTTCAACAGTAGCTTTCTGATAGGAAAGTGAATCTAGTTGGTACTTTATGAATGTTGAATGTTTATATTAGCATTTTCTATATACGATATAACATTTTCAAAATGTTTTGATTTATTATTGAACTGTTTAGGCACATTTCCATTTTTTCTAAAAATATCAATAAAATTTTATTTGTTGGTTAAAAAAGTTTGAAAATTTAATAAAAGGCTCCTAGTATATTGTTTCAAAGGCAGATGAAAAATATTAAAAATCCTTAGTTACCTACAATATTTTTATAAGCATTTAAAATCACGAAAAATAGAAAATTATTTTGAGTTAAGAATTCGAAAAAATTTTTCTTTTTAAATCTAAGGTTTTAAAATGTAATACAAGATTCCTTATAAGATTATCTACCTTTATGAAAAAAAAATGTCTATAAGAAAGTCAAATTAAATTTTTATGGGCGTTTGAAATTCAATTTGTACAACATTGGATATTCACTCGATTTCTCATTTAGCAATTTCCTTATTTTGTTGTAATTCAAAAACAGATAACTGTAGATACATGACAATTTCACTGAATATTTATATTAGCATTTCCTGTACAGCATACAATTTTGAAAATATTTTGACTCTTTTTGAGCTGTTTACGGACATTTTCAGTTTCCAATTTTTTTAGATTTTTATTCTATAAATATCAATAAAGTTTTATCTGTTGGTCCAAAAAGTGTAAAAATTTAATACAAGGCTCCTGATATATTGTTACCATAGACCTATAAACTAATGGACAGCACTTAGAGAGAGTGGTCACAACTCACAGGTACGATATACAGTATTAGTTTCGTACGTCTATGATTTCCCCCATTATGTTTTTTCTCTCTTCCTCTTAAATGATTCCACTAAGATTTCCCCAATATGTATTATTTCTCACTCACATTATATTGGCGCCACTCAGTGTTGACTGTGTGGTGAGGGAGGCGCAGTCCATTAGTTTATATAGTTAGTTAGTTTATTAGTCCACAATCCACATAGTTTATAGGTCTATGATTGTTACAATATCAGTTGAAAAATATTAAAAAT